TCAACGAGAAATCTCACGCAGATCATGCGGAGTTGCTTCAAAGCTGGCTCAGTCCAGGAAAGAACGGCAGGCCGCAGGGTTCTTCGCTGCCACAGATTTTGATGGTCACCCTGTTTGCGAGGTCCTTCCTGTCTTATGACTATCTTTCTCTTGGATTCGCCGCATTGTTCCTTGCAGCAGTTCCTGTCATGTCCACCAGGGCAGGAGGGCTGAGGCTACCTTCCATCAGGGGGAGGGTATACGAGATCAACTTGAAGAAGGTTTTCTGCCTGGTAAACGCCCTCTGGTCCCTGATAACGATCATCTTCGATGTGGCTAAGTTGGCTGGGATGAACATCATCACGAGCTCAGAGTCTTCGGCTGATGAGAAGCTCTTCTGGATTCTGTGCTCAATTACACTGGACGCCCTCGCAGGGACCAGTGGGGTCAGAATCTTGTTTTCCCTGCAGGCATGTACGCAGGTGCAAACGTAGGAGTGCAGAGGAGAGCAGAGGAGAGCAGAGGAGTGGAGAGGAGAGGAGAGGAAAAAGCAGAAGAGGGGAGGCAATGAAATTTTGATTCCCTTGCTAAATTAGTTTGCAGTGCAAACGCAAATCTTGATTGCCTGGCAGCGTTGATGGATGTGAGAATCTCTCCCTTTGCATCATCATCATCATCATCATCATCATCATCATCATCATCATCATCAACATCATCATCCGTCATCATCATCATCCGTCATCATCATCATCATCATCATCCGTCATCATCATCATCATCATCCGTCATCATCATCATCATCATCCTAGTACTCCTCTTCATCCTCATTCAGCTCCTCCTACCTGCTCGTTCCCGCGTGATCGAACTCTTCTCCTCGACTCTGAGTATTGTGCTGCAGCGGTCGGCACGAGCTCTGCCCAACAGCAGTGGGAATACAGGTCGAGGAGGGGAAGGAGGGGAGGAGGAAGAAAGAGGACGAGCAGAAAGAGCAGGGAGGAGGAAGGTGGAAAGAGAGGGAGCCAAGGAGGGGAGAGGGGAGAAAGGAGAGGACAAAACTGTTCATCTGATTCACTGCTGCAGCTTTACATTGGGCGATACAGAACAAACAGAAAGAGTCCGTCAAGGTGCTTGCCCGGCTCTCCTCTGCTTCTACTCCAACATGATCACCACTGCTACCATACTCATCCTCCTCTTCATTCTCGTCCTCTTCCTCACCCTCTTCCTCTTCCTCATCTCTGCGAACATGCACACTCACGATCGTCTCAAATTTCCATTTTCTTCTCTCATTCCATTTTCTGCTTTCATTCTGCTCGTTTACCCCCCTTTGTACATTTTCAGTAATTGTTATCACATCTTTGCCTCACGTTTTATCAGATGCTGATCGAGAAATGCTCCTCCGTCGATGTCTTGTACAAGAACAGGTAAGTCTACAAACTCCCCAATCCTCCTCTACCTCTACCTCTACCTCTACCTCTACCTCTACCTCTACCTCCACCTCCACCTCCACCTCCACCTCCACCTCCACCTCTACCTCTACCTCTACCTCTACCTCTACCTCTACCTCTACCTCCTCCTCCTCCTCCTCCTCCTCCTCCTCTACCACCTCCTCTTCCTCCTCCCGTATAATCCTGCTTTCACCTTTTCCTCATTTTCAATTCCTCTTTACTTCCTTTTGTCAGCTTTGGAAAGAGTGCACTGTCGGAAGCCTTTGGCACTGAAGATGAAGAGGTGAAACGAGGAGAGAGGAGGTAGTGGGAGATTTCAAACAGGAGAAGAGGAGGAGGTGAAGGAAAGAGCAAGAAACAATAGCAAAGAGACAGGAGCTTCAGTGGGGTACGAGCAGCAGCAGCAGTGGCGGCGGCGGCGGTAGCAGCAGCAGCAGCAGCAGCAGCAGCACGGAAACTTCGTTGTGACAGATTCTGTAGCTGGTTCAGTTGCTTCTGGGACATTCCAGTGCAAGTGCACTTGAGAACACGCAGGTAAGAGGAGAGTTGATGGTGGGGATGGAAAGGAGGAAGAGAAGGGGAGAAGGAGGAGGAGGAGGAGGAGGAGGAGGAGCAAGAGGACGCCAAGGGCATGTGATTCTTGTTTCAGGCGTCTGGCGTGCAGGAAGAGGAGACGGACGATGAGGGCGGAGAGCAGGAGGAAGGAGGAGGAGGAGGAGGAGGAGGTAAGAGTAATGGCAGAGACACGAGCCAGACTGAAGAACGAAACTGCAGGGGACGTGGAGATGGAAGAAGCGTGAGAGGAGAAGAGGAGAGGAGAGGAGAGGAGAGGAGAAAGACCTTATGTGTGTAACGAAATGACAATCAGGCTAATTGCATTCATTCCTCGCTCCTTTTTCCAATTCCCCCCTCTCCTCTTTTCCTCCTCCCTCCCTCTCCCCCCCTCCTCTCCCTCCCCTCCATCTTTTTTCTCCCTTCCTTCCTCTCTTCTCTCTCTCCTCTTTTTTTTTTCCCGTGCCTCTTTCTTCTGGTTTACTTTTCATATCAAGACGCGTTGAAACGAGGAAAAAGAGGAGGCGAGAGGAGGAGGAAGGGGGGAGGAGGAGGAAGAAGAGGAGGTGAAAATGACTGCTGGGATGAAGACCCAGTTAACGAGAACAGGCAAGAGGGAGGGCAACGGAGGCTACCCGAGAGGAAAGAATAGCAGTGATTAAGAAGAACACAGAAACAGGAACAGGAACAGGAACAGGAACAGGAACAGGAACAGGAACAGGAACAGGAGTAGTCGTCGTTGATATCGTTTTCGTCCTTGTCATCACCATCACATCTCCTCCAACACGTCATACCCTTCATCGCACAACAGAAAAGACTCTTCGAACACCTCCCTGTCGAGGTTGCAGATCCGAAAGTTGAGCATCGCTGCAAGAGCCAGCATCCTCCTCCTTTGCTGCTGAGACTTCCCCTCCTCGTCCGCAACCCTCCTCCTCCTCCTTGCCTCCTGCTCATGCTGCCCGTCCAAGCTCGAGTAGCTCCTCTTTCTTCCGATGTAGTGCGCGATGAACATGCCGCCGTTCGCCTCTCCCTCCACCCATCCTCCTCCTCCTATCGTCACGCTGTGCCCTGGAAAGTCAACGTGGACATCCGGCTCGCTGCTTCCTCCTCTCACCATCACCTTGCCGTGCTGCCTGTCCCACAACTTCCTCCCGTCCTCAGGCAAAAAAGTCTCCGAGTGCTCCAGGAAGCGGCCAACAGTCAGCCGGCTCCTCCTCGTCTCCTTGGAGGAGAAACTGAGCCAACCCAACTTGATCGCGCTCGGGCGCAACGGCCCATCCTCCCCTGCCATCTCCTTCCCCCGCTGTAGCAGCCAGGGGATCGTGCTGGGGATTGCGTCGGCAAGCAGCTGGAGCATGCCCCTCATCGCCTCCTCTTCCTCCCGTTCCCCCCGCGCGTGCTCCCCGTCGCGCTGCCTCCCTTCCCTTGCCCCCTCCTCCTCCTTGTTGCGCATGCGCTGCAAGGAGGCAACCGTGACGTCAGCATGGCGGGAAGGAACCAGGAACTCGTCCACATCCAGCATCATCAGCCAACTCCTCCTCCTCACCTGAGCTCGGAGGAGGCAGTCGTTGAGAGCATGCGCCTGGTAGAAGACGAACTTGCTCGCCCACGTGAAGTCCCAGGCACGCAAGGTCACCAGCCCCCTGCTGACGTAGGAGGAGAGGAGGAGGGGAGTGCGGTCCATGGTGAGGTGCAAGTAGATGTGAAAGTGAGAGACGCCGAGCATCAGGTGATACTCCACCCACTCCACGATGAACTCCTCCTCGTCCCTTACCATCGTACAGATCTCCACTGGGTACACTCCTCCTCCTCCTCCTCCTCCTCCTCCTCCTCCTCCTCCTCCTCCTCCTACTTCGCCTGCTCTTTCTTCCTTCGCTTCAGCTCCGTCCTCCTGCCCACCTCCTCCCTCCCCTTCTCTCTGTCCGTCTTCCTCCCCGACTTTGCCTCCTCCCTCCTCCCACCTGATCCTGCGGAATGTAGCACCAGTCTCTAGATCCTTTGCGATCGGGACCCCATCCTTGAGCACACGGGCCAGCACCTCCCCAGCTCCTGCCCTCAACACCTCTCGCATCCAGGACGGAAGGGGGCAGTACACTCGGAAGGTGTGCAGCTTGTCAGATACCACATGAGCCTCAACTTCCTCGACCTCTCCTCCCTCCTCCTCCTCCTCCTCCTCCTCCTCCTCCTCCTCCTCCTCCTTTCCACCCGCAAACTTTCCTTTCATCGCATCCTCCTTTGCAACCCCTTCCCTGCTCCGCGTCCGGTTCTTGTCCATGACCTTGAACTCGCATCTCCACGTCGGCAGCATGTAGGACTCCTCCATCAGCAGCGGGAGCTTCGGGCTCACGAACGCCATGACGGTATTGGAATGGATGAGCACAAGATCCGATAGGACGTCCCCGTCGTCGTTAACAAGGTACTTGTTCACCAGCTCATGAGGAGATGGCCTCTCCATCCTCCTCCTGCCGCCCTTCTCGCTTGCACTCCCCCCGGCATCCAGCGTCAAGAGGAGCGAGCCAGGATCGATGGCGGAGGAGAGCAGGAAGGATTCATAGAGGTTCAGCTTGCCGCTTCGCAGTGCCATGATCCCATAGCATCTCGAGCTGGACATGGCGTCCTGGACGTCCAGCATGTGCAGTCGAACGCACTCCATCATCTCCTCCTCTCCCATCCACCTCGTGTACACCACCACCGCGATCACTTCATAGAACCCCGCAGCGAGGCCGGGAAGCTCTACCGTCCTTCGTGCTGCCCCGTTCCAGCGGGCGGCCTCCTTCCGGTTGAGGAAGACGACAGTGTAGATCTCGCTGACTGTCAGAGGAAGCTCTTGCATGACCTTGACCTCGATGTCGAGGAGGAGAACAAACCCGTCGTGTTCTTCGGTAGATGACATGTCCAGCCTCTGGAAGGACGCGGTTCCGAAGATGGGGAACTTCCGCTCGACAGCCTGCTCGCCTCCTCCGAGACCAGAAGCTCCATGCTCGTCGCTGTCTGCCGTATGCCTGCTCTGTTCCTCTCCTCCTCCTCCTCCTCCTCTTCTTCCAGTCGCCACTCCCAACGACAGCAGGAGCAAGGTCAACGTCATCGGGCGCATCCTGCATAGGATCTCGAAAGTGAAATAGATTCTATATCTGTAATTTGAAATTATATGAGACGATTTGAAACTTGTGGAAAAGGTCAGGGAGGCGGATGAAGGTCCTGCGGTGGAATGGTATGCTGTATCGTGTGTCCATGTTGGCTGTGCTGCCCTGAGACAGAGGAGAAGCTGCAGGAAGTGAAGGAGGAGGTGAGATCAGCGATCAAGAGCTCCAAGATCCTCAAGAAGAAGGGAGGGAAGAGCGTCTAGCTCTAGCACACTCTCTGCGATGTGCTCAAGAGTCGTACCTTGCTCTCGATCGGTGGTCCGCGGCATGCTACGTGGACTGCGAGAGGTCGCCATGCGGCGCTACAGCGGAAAGGTAGAAGGAGGAGAAGAGAAGACCAACTTCAACTTCAGCGGGAGCGGCTTCCTGCTCACCTTCCATGCCGGCGCCGCCGACGTCTTCCTCAAGTGATCCTTCCCTTGTTGGCTCATGACGCGAATGACCGAGCCTTGGTGGTTCGCGTGTGCGGCAGGAGGGGCATAATCAAAGAGTCTTCGACGTTCTCAGGAGCGTCAGGAGGCGCCATCATCTCGGCGGCGCTGGCGACAGGGATCAGCCCCGACACTATCATCTCCACCACCTTGGTAGGAACTCTTGCGTCTGCCTTCCCTCCGCTGATAGTTTGCATCATCTGACTTGATCCTGCCAGGAAATCTCTGCAATCTGCCGACAGAAGGGAACAGTGACCAAGTAGCCGATGCTCCTCTTGTTGGGTGTGGCGCTCAGATGCCATGGCAGGGTCGGCAAGCTCCTTGAGGAGCACTTGCGGAAGATGTTCAAACCTGGAGACGAAAATCTCTGCTCAGGCAGAGTTGCCTTGGCTGTCTCACGAGTATGGAAGTTTCCTTGCGCCCCTGCACACCTTCCCTCTCTCCTTCCCTCTTCCTCTTCCTCTTCCTTCCCTCCTCCGACCATCGACTTCTCTCACTCTGCCAGCCACCTCCCATCTCTCCGCCACGCCGTTATGACTGCGAGAGCAGGTCAAACCTCGTCCCTTCCTCAGCCCGGTGATGGTCAGGAGCTTTCATGACAGGGATCATCTCATCAGCACCATCATGGCGTCTTGCTTCATCCCTGGGTATCTGAGCCCTCACGCTACGTTTCGTATGGACAAGGACCGATACATCGACGGGGCGCTTGTCAATATTCTGCCTCCCATCCGAAGCAGCGTCAATGTCCTCTGCTTCAAGAAGAGATGGGTTTCTTTCATGGTGCCCAACACGTGCGATATGACTTCGCTGATCAGCCCTGATATCATTCCCAACTTTCCCTACAAATTGCCACAGATGGTCAAGTTCGCATTGTTTCCTGCTACCGACGAGGAGGTTTTCCGGATGTTTCAGCTGGGACAGCAGGCAGCTGAACTCTGGCTGGACAGACGTTCTGAATCCAAGAAGTAGACTGGGATTGGAGCTGTTTCAGCACATTGACCTTTCACGGTGACCGAGGGTATTGGTGTTTTTTCACTTCACTGCACAATCATAGGAAAGAATATTTTCACTGCGAACATGCTGGGTCTGACGCCCGCTGGCTCGCGTTCTTCTCAGACCTTGCGTGCACGCATGTCCCTCCATACTTTAACAACGTAATGTTGATACTCTGAGATCCATTTCGCTCCCCCATTGACAAACAAGAACCCCGTAGCAACCGCTGCAAGGTGAGCTCCGTGATCGAACATCCTCCACCTGCGGTCACTGCACGTCAGCCACCGACAAGCATGAGAGCATTCTATCGTCATACCCGAGGACGAGGCCAGAGATGTCCAAGGCAACAATGCCGAGCAGCATAGTTTGTGCTGGGAGAGAAATGAAAGGCAGGAAAATGATACCGAACTGAGCCGATGGCCAGAGCAGAGCAGTGAGGGATGCCATGAAGAGGACTGCACCACTCGCTCCCAAGGAAGGAGTCGTGCAGGTCGTCATCAGCTTGATCATCATGCCTCCGAGGCTGGAAAGAACTCCAGCTGACAGGTAGCAGGCGAGAAAGTTCTCAGGTCCCAGCACGTCGACCAGCGGCTGGCCAAAGGAGAAGAGCGCGAACCTGGTGCAGTTACGTCACCTGAGGGAGGTAAAGGCCACAGCTACTCACATGTTGAAAGCGAAATGCGGCAGAGTGATGTGCGAGAACGTGCTTCCCAGCAACGGGAACCCGCGGCCCGAGAAAGCGTAATGCAGGAAGTATCTGTTCAGCCATGAGTAGGCATGCTCCAGCGTTGAGGACACTCCGCGCAGCGAGCGAGTCCAACAGAGGAAAATCACAGTGTTTGCCGCTAGCAAGCTCCCGCATACTGCCTGCGCTGTGGTGTACTGCCAGCCATAGAAGTCGTGGTACCTCCTGGAACTGGCCAGACCGAACCGATTTGCCCAGGGCTCCCTTCTCCGCTTCTCGTCTCGCCATATGGCGGCAATCGCGAGGGATCCCAACGTGACTGAGGCTGCAAACAGCAGGGGGCGAAGGATGAGGGAGGAGCGAGGAGGCCTCGGCGAATCCCCTTCCCATCCTTGGAACTGGCGGAAATATGGTCGGGCCCTGGACGAGAGGCTCCTCCCCTTTAGCTCCTTGAGTTTGGAAAGGAAGAAAAGGTTATTGTGCGAATGAAAGGAGGAGAGAGAAGAGGAGGCGGAGGAGGAGGAAAGGGGGCGAACCCTCCATGATTGATAACTCGAAGCCTTCAATGCAGGGCCTTCGGATCCCCATGAGGCAACACGGGAGAGGCTGCCGACGCCAGCGTTCGAGTTTTGCGAGGAAAACGAGAGGAGAGGATGGCACTGGGTAGGAATGCTTGTAAACCAAGAATGGCGAGGAAGAGGAGAGGGTCTGATCGGTCGAATGAGCCCCGTACGGTGCAGCTCAGATGATATGAACCTTGAACGGCATGCAGAGGACTTCGAAGGAAGGGCAGCGAGCGAAGATGAACGCAACAGAGCAGCAGAGAAGAAACTGACAGGAGACGAGGAAGAGGAGCTGGTCAGGGCAGCGCTTAACCCCATCGCACCGCCTCCCTGCCATCGCCGTACTGCAGCACCGAGGCACTGCATCTCTGCCGCAGCCTTTGCCCGGTGCACACTGCCCGGGCCGGCGCAGAGAATGAGGGCAAGCACTCAGTGACCCGGCCGCCGCCGTACGAGGGGCCCCCGCAGCGGGCGGGGGTCCGGGCCCGACTCGGGCGGGCCTCGCCGCACGGGGCCAGTCAGTCACACTGCGACCAGGCTGACGGACTGTCACGACGGTCACAGACCTTCAGACAGTCACTGAAGGCTGGCACTGAGTCCCGGGCCGCGGCCGCCCGGCCGCCGCGCACCGTGCCGTACCGACCGACGGTCACTAGGCTCACGGTCGTCGGGGGCCCGGGCCCGGGGCAGGGCCTCGCCGCCTGGGGCCGCCGCGTGACAACTGGGGATCGATTTGGCGGGCGCAGCGGCTCAGCGTAGTACGCCGGTACATCATGGCTTGGCCGCGACTCGAACTTCGGCCGGCGGGCCGGAAGCGGCCGCCGGACTCCGGGAGCCTGCCGGGCACCGGCGTAATTTCAAGTCCAGGTCACTCTGCTGCAGCCTGGCCCAGGGTGAGCTGAAAGTGGCCCGGAACTTGGGGAATGATGAGCACAGGCTTGGCGACCCGGGAGCCTTCCAACTTGACTCCGACTCAGGTCAGTGAATGATCGGACACTGCCGCTGCGGCTGCCAGTGTGCAGGACCGTGTAACTATTGGCGAGTGATGTAGTCCTGCCGTCTTAGTCCGTGTATAGTTCTGACCCGATCCTTGGCGACTAGAATATGACCTTCAAGGCGTATTGAACTAGAAAGTTGTGAGACTCTGCCATGACACGGAAGGGGACGTGTGCAGGCGGAAGGTGACCGATTCACGGTCGACAGAGGACTTTCTGACAGTGGCAGGTGGCAACATGTTACAGAGAGATCATGATCAACAAGAAGAGGGTCAACACGCCATGCCAACACACGAACACATCAATCCGGTGAATAACTCGGTTTGTTACAGGAGGGAGATCAGCACGGGCTCGATAGAACTTCTCGGCTCTTTGACAACTCCGGGTTTTCTCCATCGAATCGTCCCATGCAAGGTGGGGAGGCACCATCAACATCATCAGCGCAACTTTGATACAGTTATCCGTGAGATCCTATCCATCCATCCTGCTGCATTCCGGACGGCGATATCCTGTACGACAAGTCAACGTGTTCGAATGTCTTGGGACAAGAGCAAACCTGGTGAACGACATAATGGACGTCGGGAGCAAGGACGCCATTGAATCCCCAGACCTGATCAACCATGAGGCTACAATCGTCCAAGCCCCTCCACCCACACCTCCACGTCGTTGAGATGTGGGATGTCACTTTCGGGTGATTTCAGGACCACCGAGTAGAAGGTGAACATGAGTTCCGAGTCCGAGGGGCTTCGAGTTCAATTAATGCTGCGGCAAGTAGGAAGCAAACAAGGAGAACCTCTCTATCGTGCAGACCCATTCCCGTGAGCTCCGCCGGATGTACATCTTCCACCGCTCCTCCACCTCGCCCAAGGCGGAATAGCTCATCGAGCACTCGACCTGTAACAGTTTGAGCCGAAACATCCGCCGAGGTAAGAAAGCTGCCGGTAGACCTCTCCGAATGCATGGCTTATCCTCCTCCCTTTCTCCGCAAAGCCTGGCGTGACTGTGACGACGTCTTCACTGATCAGTCCCACCGAGGGACTTTCAATGTCGTCCGGAGGGGATGCAATGGCACATGAAACTCCTAGCATGAGGACAATGACTTGAACGAACGTACAGCCTCCCATGTTCGCCTTGGTTCACTAGGGCATGGCAAGACATAAACTTTCCCCTGTCCTCGGACGTCGGCACACCATTCCCTACGGTTCAACTTGTGTAGTGCCTGGTCAGTCTGAGTGTAGTGCCGCTGCCGATCGTCAGTCCACTCGGCCCGATCGGTATCCCCGGGCTTCAACGGCCGTCCGTTGAAATCCCGAAGGCTCGGATACTGATCGAGAACAAGTCGGAGGACCCCCTGGTGCTACCACGAGAAAGGGGGTTAGGTAGAGGTTGCGTCACCCCACCCTACCCCCTGGCAGGCTGCAGGTCGCTGCCGCAAGTTCCGACGGTTTCAAGTGCGATTTCAAGGCCTACCACCCGACCCCTGGACCCCCAGGGCCTACCAGGGGGCTGCTATTGCAGTAACGTACCGGTTCTTTTTCATCCACTGACCCCACCCCACCTCTCCTCGCCCCCGGCATATCTCGAGCCACCACCCCTCGGGCCACCCGGGGATCACCTCCGTATATTCTGACGGTGAAGGGAGGGGTACGTGATTTTATATGGAGGAGAAGAGGGGTGGTAGAACTTGGGGAAAGGGGGTACGGTAAAGCAGCTGCCGACACCGGTACATCGTCCTCGAGTGTTCCTGCATGACTAGACCTGATCGTTCTCGTCACTGTGCGAGGCAGAGATACAACTCCTGGGCAGCTGTTCTCACTTATCCTCTTTATCCTCTACGACAGAATCGTTCAGCTCCTTGAGTTTCCTCTCCTCATTGTTCTTCATACATTGTTCTGCTTCACCTCGTCTCTAGTGTAGAGCTCCTCCTGCCGACTGCAATCGCACCATCATTGCCCTTCAACGAAGGAAACATCTCATACTTGCCAGTGATCTCTGCTACCTGATACTCCAGGCGTGTTAGCGTTTCCTTCTAGATTTGTATCGGAAATCATTTACCCCAAAGTTGCTTGTTGTTGGCCGGCCCATGTCGAAAGTTAGGAATTTTGAGTAAGGCGAAGTGTGCGGCCCAACCTGCGTTGCCGAGAGTATTACTTGTTTACTGTGACTGAGTTCGGTCTAGAGCTCTGGCACTCGGCCATGCATAATCAGAAAGGCCCGTCGAAGCCTTCGCCAAGGCCTTGGCTCAGACCTTCCAACGAAGAGAAATGGGCTGAATACAGAAATTCCGGTCAACTCAAAGCTGGTAGTAACATCCACACTGAATGTCAAGACTGCATTATATGTGATGTCGCGTGCGTTACAGGAGACTTTGTACCATCTCCGTCGCACCAGTCAAGCCCCGATGTAATTGCTCTTCAAGCTTGAGTGTTTGTGTACTGATGAAAGCGTTAGAGCTCAGTCAGCCCTACCAAAACAGATTCTGAAATACAACTAGTCAAGGTGTAGCGTTACCTTGAAAGCAAATGAGAAGTGACAACAGTCATCATCACAGGCACAGCTGTCAACAGTAACAAAAGAGAGAGATGAGTTCCGCCAGGTCACTTCAATGCTTCACCTCGCATCGAAAGTTATATCTAAATCAGTTGCAGGTTGCGCAGCGAACAGCTGATCATTGCGAATATCTTGCACAGCAATTACAACAAGTGACACTCAGTTCTTGTGATGGGTCTTCGAAACATTGAAAAGATTTGCAGGCGAGACAGAGGATAGCAGAGCTCGAAAATGACGTAAGAAATTCAAGAGATACGCTGATTCCGACATTCATCTCCTGAAATCGTGTCAGGCACCTTCCCCAAACAAATCTAGCGCTAAAAAGTCAAGCAAGATCAGTTCTCCTCCGACAGGTGAAGGATATAAGATCGCTCGTTCCTGTCGGTAGTGATTTGCCATCCATCCAGTGAACTCGTCGAGCAGAACCACCATAATCAAGTTTGATGTGGATGAGGTACAAGACCGATCAAGAGCTCTTGCGCATGCAGCGATGATAGTCACTGCGCTGCACAGCCTCCACTTGCGATCGAGGGCAACAATTCAGGTCCTGAGGCCACGAAAAAGGTGAGCAAATGCTCCGATCAAGGGAGGATGAGGTCCTGACCTTGCTCTAGCATGAAGAGGAATTGGAGAAAGAGAGGAAACTCAAAGAGCAAGCTATCGCTGAACTGCAAGTTGCTCGTGAGCTGGCAGCCAAGGTCCATTCCCCATGCTCATCCTCGTCCTCCTGCTTGATTGTCTCATTGAAATGTTTGTTAGGCGATGAAGATGGCTGAACAAGCGAGTGATGCATCGTCGCCAAGTGACACAGTGAGATAATTCACTGGATGTTCCAGTCTGAATCCCCTGATGAATGCTTGCAGCGATTGATCGAGAACAATCGAAAACTGCAGTCGTCTCTGCAAAAGATGTTCAAGTAAGAACCTATTTGCACGTTCTTTACGTGTTCCATCGGCTCACGATGCCAGGGGCTGGCAGCAAATCTGTTCAAAGATTCTTACCAAGGCCGCCGAGTTCCACTATTCGTGGAAGGTGACGTACAGGATCTGTCAGGAGTTCCTCTTGTCAATTCGTATAACAGGAGGCGGAAGCTGAGATGGACAAGATTCTCAAGGCGTGCGAGAGGTGAAGGAGAGGAGATGAGGAGCACCTAGTGCTGAGAGCTTGTTCCAGTCCACGGAAGGACAGCAGTGTCATCAAGAGATCGTTCGAGAGGGTCTGCATCCCATCTAACGCGTGAGGCAGCAGGAGTGTAACTCTGTGACAGCTGAGGATGCTCAACGAGAGGAGTATGGAGAAGATTCAGGTGGACGACAATGAGCTCGCCGGGCTAGTGAACGGGTGACGGAGAAACGGGTCAGCACACTCGAATGCTGACGTGTGTGTGCAGTCTTCAGCGATGGGATGAGACTGCTCGGGGCCTGTTATGACAAGAGAGTACGCGTCGCGTACTTGCTAACGTCTTGAGTTGTAGTGTGATACATTCAGGTTCTTCTTCGAACTTTGCTGCTGCCAAATTTGATTGGAAGGCCCAAGAGTTGTTGCGTCGTCGCCTCCTCCTCGGACCTCTCTGACCGCTTCCCTAACAGTCTGTCGCGTTTTACAAGTCGCTGATCTTGTCTGGAGAACATCCTCTTGCAGAGAGCATCAGCCAGCCTCGTTCTCCTCCTGTTGTACAAGCGATAATCTGCATCGGATCCGTCAGCGCTGGGATTATGTTGAGGACTGGAGGGCGACCTTTGAAGGCATCCAACCCGTAGCATCCTCCGCAGTCCCAGACCTTGACGTTGCTGCTGACCACAGCCATCTGAAGGGCCGAGAACATCTCAGAAGCTCGGTAGACCTGGGAGGAGATGGTCAGAGCCGGAGCCATCTGGGCGATTCGACCACATCTTCCATCCACTCGGCGGGGAAGCAGGAAGGAGGCAGTAGGAGCTTGTCCGGTGGGAAGGGAGAGGGACAGACGCCTTCCATGAGCTCCTGCAGCTGATCTTCGTCTTCCTCCTGCCCCTGCTGCAGGCCTCTGAACCCCCTGCACACGGCATAGACCTCTGAGTTGCCCTGCTTGCTTGCCGGGGGCTTCACAAGTGAGACCTCGGCAAAGCATGAGCAGAGGAGGAGGAGGAGGCAGTGCGTCTCAGGCTTGTAGAAAGTGAAGAGCTTGATGACGAAGCCTCCTCCGCGAGCGAGGACCTGGAGGAGAGGGTGAGCGCTGCCAGCGGGAAGGAGAGCAAGGGAGGCGACCCCGAGGGCAAGGACGATCTCGGAGTAGATGAGGCCTAACACCTCCTGCTCCTGCTCCTGCAGATGAGGAGAGTCGGCAACTCACGGGAGCCGTCGCACCTGCGCCTCGGGCCTCGTGCTGCAGTCTATGCTACCGTCTGCTGTGACGAGGTTTACCCTCCCTGCTCGATCAGGTCAGAGACTGTAAGGGAGAAGAGGCCCGTAGAGGGGCTACCTAGAGTACTGAGAGTCCGCTCTCTTATCAACCTCACGTTGTCCTTGTTGAGCACATTCCCTGCCGTAACAGATGAGCATCACAGATGAGCGGCGTGAGGAAATGAGGGAACCATGGTACATACATAAGCAGGGAAGGAGGGAGGGAGGGAGGGAGGGAGGGAGGGAGGGAAGAAAAGATGGAATCTTAGATGTGGAGAAGGATCGCCCCGTACTCACGGAGAACACGCATATCAACCTGTTCCATCCGCCCCGAAGTCCCAGTGCTCTTGGGTATGGTCGATAAGATCTGCATCCTGCCCTCCGTCTTACATTCCCTCCGGCACGTGAGGTATATCAAACCTCTCCTCGAGCCACCTTCTTCGCTATTGGGTCTTGCTCCTCCTCCTCGCTCCGCAGTGTGTTCGCCCGCCAGCTCCATGTCACGTCCTTGCAACAGCATTCTTCATCAGCACGCTCTCGGGGAAGTCAGCCAGCCACTTTGTGCCGGGTCTTGAGGAGATGGTTGAGGGCTGCTATGAAGCCTCCTGAGACCCTCTCGTCAGCCTCCGTCACTTCCTCCTTCCTCCCCCACCCGGTGCCTCGCAGACATGCAAGGAGGAGAGCTGTCGGGAGTTGGAGGTGCCCTCAACTGCGATAGAGAGGGGAGGGGATGGCTTCAGTAAGAGAAAGAAGAGATGGAGCACAACAAAACGACAGAAAAGGAGAGAGGGAGGGAGAGGGAGAGTGAGAGAGGGAGGGACAGGGACAGGGACAGGGAGAGAGGGAGGGTGGAACAGAAGGTGGAGGTATTGAGAACAAAGTTATATCAGCATGGCAATGACATCTCACCAGCCACGTTTGAAGGACTGATCAACTCCGGGTATGCTGACGCCCATTGAAGTGAGAGAAAGATCCAATCCAATCCCATCCTATCCCACCACAACATATCTCGTCTCATTTCTTATGTTCTGAACTCGTCCCATCCCATCCCATCCCATCGCAAATCACAAGGACCTGTGCTGATATGAAACATCTTCACCCATGCATGCGAGCACATCTCGGCATCGTATTGATCTCTACAAGAGCGAGAGTAAGGTGTGACAAGTTCTCGAGCCTCAATCAATGAACCTGATCGTGTTCACTAGCAACCCGTAAGGGTCCATGCTAGTCGTGTGACGGTGCCATGCCTGCATGCTTCGTCAAGCTTGCTCCACCTGACTCGTCGGGCTAGCATGTTGAATGAAGCAGAGCTGAAGTCCACGAGACTGCAGGGCGAAACTAGACCGCATGGGAGGAGAGGTGTGGGAGCGATTGTGGTGTGTCAAACTCACTGACTGAAAGTCTCCTTGCTGAGCCTGCGGCAGCTCCTCGTATCGCTTAAGAGCCTCTCGCCTTATTTTCCACTTGCACTCCACGAGCTCTGAAAGCTTCTCAGATGGAAATGACCTGCATGCTACAGAACCCTACCTTCATTGAGCTTGTCGAATTTTGCCTGAGCCTTACCCTCACAAGTCCCCTTGCTCCTCCACTGCCATCTACCGTCCTCCCTTGGCACGTGCTTCATCCTCCATACCTTGGATATCCCCGAGACTCCAGTAGCTCCAAACTGAGCAAGGGAGTCAGCTCAGAAAGGGAGCTCTTCATGCGGAGGAGAATGACCTTGCTGAGGATCTTCTCCATGCTCTCTTGCTGCTCCTCGAACAGCCTGACCAGCGAATGCATCTGTTCTCCTCCTGCATCTCCTTCTCCCTCCCCTCTTCCTCCTCCTCCTCCTCCTCCTCCTCCTCCTCCTCCTCCTCCTCCTCCTCCTCCTCCTCCCTCCACCCACTGCGTCGTGCACTGATATCGTTCCACCATCCTGAGCAGTCGCTTTGCCTCTCAAGTCGCCGGGCCCGGAGACCCGGGGCCGTCAGTCACTCAGTCACTCAGTCGATTGACTTCTTTCTTTGCCACACCGAGTCACATCAATTATAACGGCTGTTGAAAGTGAGGGGGTACCTCAGGTAGAGGGGGTCCAGCAAGGGGCCAAGGAGGGGTTATCATGACGGACGTCACCATCAGGACCGGTGACCGACGGGAGTCAGTCTCCGTAGTACTCTAAGAGACAGAGAAAGGAGGAGAGCCGGCCTGAGAGGCGAAGAGAGGAGCGGAGGAGAGGAGGAGAGGAGGAGAGGAGGAGAGCAGGAGAGCAGGAGAGGAGGAGAGCAGGAGAGTAGGAGAGCAGGAGAGGAGGAGAGGAGGAGAGCAGGAGAGCAGGAGAGCAGGAGAGCAGGAGAGCAGGAGAGGAGGAGAGGAGGGGAGTCAGTCGCGGCCGAGACTGAAAGGAGAAACGTAGAGAGTTATGATCAATCGGAAACCATCAACCACATAGCTGCAAGCCTTTGTGTGGAGGAGAGGATCGGACAGGGCAGGGGGCAGGGCACGGCAGTGAGGGGCAGGGGCATGGCATGGCATGGCATGGCATGGCATGGAATGGCGGAGCAGGAGAAGACTGAGGGGAGCGGAGATGGGGCGAACTTATCGGAAGGGTTTCAGTAAATGGGATATTGTCTGGCCCGTGTGTAGCACGAGAAAGAGAGCAGAAGGCAAGAACAATTGAGAGTATAGTTAGGCCGGCCCGGGACTGAGATGATACTCAATCTAAGACCGGAAGCAAGCCCTCATTTTCTTTTGTTGCATCCAGTCCTATTGATTCTTGTTGCAGTCGCTAAAACGCAGTCTTGTCAGAGTGGCACGTCTGCATACCGTCCCAAGGCGAAGCTCGTACATTAGAGAATCTTCAGGACTGGTTGACTTGATTCCCATCCGTGACCTCTAGACCACCGAATTGAGGTGCACCAGTCCCACAGGAGCTGATCTTGGAAGTTTGAACTCGGAGGCACCTCGCAAGCTCGAGTATGGATTTCTTTCTCCTGGCCTGCACCGGAGAGAAAAACGTGTTCACGGTGCAGGAGTGTTGCACCCCCTCGTGGACCAGACCCTCCTGGAGCAGAAGCAAATCAAACAGCACGACCCCTCGCTCAGCTGGGAGGCTGCTGAGCGCTGAGGTTCACGGTCCTCCATCCCGCATCGAGCTCTTCTGCGAGGACCACGAGGAGGAAGAGGGGGAGCTGCTTCCCTCCTCTCGCCGATTGGCCCCGGTCGCTCTTAAACCTGCCACTCACGGAAATCACCAGCAGGCTTTCCACCAGAACCTCTGGAGCTCCAAGGCGGCAGCAGAGCAACCGGATCATAATGGGCCTGCTCTCGATCGCATCGAATCTGAGTCCATGCTCCTGCACCAGCTCCAGCCCAGCAACCCAACCACAGCTGAACCGACTCCGCGATCTGTCAACTTCTCGAGGAACCACACGCCGAGGCAGACGCGTGAGGCGGCGGCCCAGCCCAGCAGGTCGGAGGCTTCGAGGGTGTCAAAGGCGCAGGACGTGATCCTGATCGAGTGAGTGGAGGAGTGACGGCAGGAGCATCTCTAACGATCTCTGGCCCCGCAGGTGCGACATCGTGTCCCCTGCTTCAGCTCCCCCGACGCACAGGGGTCATGAGGTAGCTGGAGCCTGGTTCGAGGGTGATCCTTACTGGTTCCGCAGGAGAGCCAGGGAGAGGAGAGCAACGAGAGGCAAGAGCAGGTTCCTTCGCAGGTGGGGATCAAGTTGACTTCCTGGTTGAACTGTGTGACGCGTCCGTGCAGAGCCCGATGAAGCAGGAGGATAGGGAGACGTTCCTGTGGGCTTGAGGGAGTGCCGGTATCGTGTTGGGATGAGATGAAGAAGTTTGAACACAGAACCTCTCCCTGCCTGCTCGCTTGTCTCATCAGCATCCTGAAGTTGTCAGCACACGAAAAACAGCAGCGAATGTGTGTGCGTGCGAGCGCGTGCGTGCGTGTATTGGTGGTGGTGAAGGTGGTGCAGGGAGGTGGGAGAGGGGGAGGGGGGCGGAGAAGGGATAGAGGGATTTGAGTCAGAGTCACTGGCCAAGAGAGCAACTTGGCCTCATGCTATGGATGAATCAACCTTAGAGGCCGCTTGCAAGACACTGGAAGCAGGCAGTTGCCAGTCACCGTACTATAGTAGGTGACCGGCCCGGCGGCGGGCGGGCCGGGCCACCGGCCGCGGGCGGCCGACCCCCTTATCACTGTGATGAATGATGCCTGCCGCCAAAGCTCTTCGCTTCTCCTCAGCTCGCATGATTCGTGACCGCCTCAATCATCGGTGCGGGCTCAGCGTTGCCGAGCGTCGCCACCGTTGCCACGCGGCTGAGCATAAGAGAGTCTAGAGGGTGAGTCGACTCAACTGCGACTCAACGGCTGAGACGGGTAGGAGGGGGGATGAGGGCTCCTTTTACAAGATTCACCCCCCACCCCAATGGTTATTCTACCCCACCAACTCGAAAGAACCCTACCTACTAAATGGTGGAACCTACCCGACAAAAAATTTTACCACCCCATTGAAATCGTCTATACCACCCCCTCAAATAACCACCCACCGGATGAATTACAGCCCTGGGTCCTGCAATAACCCTACCTACCTTTCACAGATCAGATGGCTACACCCATCTTTGTGGATACATTTCGTGCTACCCCTTCGTTGTGGATTGTACCGGTGTATTTGATATCGAAAAAGTCAATAATGAAGGGGTCAAATTCACAAAGTACTGGTAGGGTGGATTTGGAAATGTCATTCTGGGAGAGTCATGGGGGGTGGGGGTGGAGAGCGTTGTTGCACCTCATGTTGTGCCTGCTGACGTGCAGTGGAACCACTACCCCCATGGAGATCTACCCTGTATTTACAGTACCCACCCCCTATATCACTTCTGAAATAAGCATACAAGGGGTACTAATTACCAAGATCCTTCCCACTACAGTACCCGGTAGTAATTCAAAAATACCCCACCCCTTGAACCCCCCTTGTTTTTTAGATGGCCTCCAGATTCCAGGGTGGCCTCAATTTAGAACGGAAAGGGGCTAGATCTTGGGTAGGGGTAGTCAAACAAGAGACTGCTATCCCTCAAGCGGTACGGGTCCTATGGTAAACCTATATTGTGCAGGAAAACCAGGGGTAGAATTTTCATTTTTATGGGGTGATACCACAATGGCGACGGGGTAGGGGGTAGGTGTGATATCAAAGCGAAGGAACATGACTCGAGCAAAGGGAATTGACCGTACGAATGAAAGGGGGTGGGATGAAGAGATGGCTGAAATCAAGAAGGTACACACTATAGTAATTTTTATTAGAGACTCATTTGGATTTTCTCATATCTTTTGAGAATAAATTTCCCCTCTGGGTCGATATCTTGTGTGTTTTGAATTACGTGTGGTAGCAAACTGTCACAGGGTAGTTGCGGATCATGAGGGGTAGGTTGAAATGTTTTCTGTCCAGATGCAGACTAAGGTGGGGGTGATTTTATGGTAAAATAGAGGGTACATCGTTTCTGAGGTGGGTGAGCTGCCATCGTACCAGGTGGGGTGGATTGTCGAGGATACGCCTCCTAAATACTGTAGAACGGCAAGCCAACAGTTTTTCATCTTCTCCAAAAACACCCATGTACCCCCATCAAATCCATCTATTTGATATCCGATAGATAGGTAGGGTGAGTCCTCCTGGACCCCTCCAACGACCGTTTCAGAATGCGGCCCCGATCTGGGATGAGGATTCACCCCCTTATTCCCCCTCAACCACCCACCCCTCGGAAGGCAAGGCCTCGGGGCCCTGGAAGTCTATTTCGTATCATTTGGTGCCCCGGGCACACCACCCACCCCTTGGTCTCTTGCCGGTCACTGCGCGCATTTCCTCATTTGAGTAGTCCCGAGATGGCTGTAAATGCACAGGGGTCCTACCTTGAAGTTGGAAGCAAGATAGTATCATATAATATACTATGAAGAGAATCAAGAAAAGTTGTATGATAGTGGTATATGAAACAGGGTCGCCTCAAGAGCATGCTGTGGTACCGGGTACGGATGCGTCCCGATACTTGGGGTGGATTCGAGCGTAGCGCAGTTCTCGATGACTCAATAAGGGGGTGGAATCCCTTCCAACAAACTCTACTACCCCTACCCCCTATTTTCGACCCGGATCTATCACCCCACCCCTCAAAGGTGTGGGTAAGACGCGGTCCTTCTACCACTGTGTTTTCCTCAATGGGCCTCTACCCCTACCCCCATGTACTAACTTCACAAGCGTTACAGAATTTTCAGTAGAACTTTAGAACTACCCCACCCCACCCCCTGAGACACAGGATGACCTGCCTTCAACACGCAACACGCTATACACCCCACCTACCACAACCAATCACTTCGTCACCCCACCCTACCTACTTGGTTCAATAATCTCACTCTAATACCACCCGACCATATTTTCAAATGCACCTGCAATCACCCCGACCTTCTCCATTACCACCTCCAACCCCACCCCTCGTCATTCCCCCACCCAGCCTTCTCCATGTACACCCCTTCAGACCTGGACCCCACCTATCTCCAAAATCACCCCCTACCCCACCGTGACCGTAACTGTCCCACAAACGGTTTTTTTTCCTTTTTTTTTCGGTCTCCTTCCCGCTACCCCCACATCCTTCTCCCTCACCCCCTCGACTTCACTCCCGACCCGACTCCTCCTCCTCTCCCACGCGTTGCTACTCCTCCTCCACTTCACCCCAAGAACAACCAAACACCTCTACGAACCCGACAGACACAGTTTCCTCCTCCAGAAACCCTCAACATGCCCCGTGCAGCCGCCGCAAAAGTCCCTAAGTCCCCAAGCGCCAAGGCTACGAAGCGAGCCACCGCGCCCAAGAAGACCATCTCCAAGGATGCTCCCAAGAAGAAGAGAACGGCAGTGTCCAAGAAGAAAGTTTCCACTGCTGCCTCCCCCAAGCCTGCCAAGAAGTCTGTGAAGAAGACGGCAACCAAGTCCCCCAAGGCAAAGTCCCCCAAGACGACCGCCGCGAGCCCCAAGGCCGCGAGCCCCAAGAAGGCCCCGCTCGTTCGCAACACCACGTTGGCAGAGAAGGTGAAGGGAGAGACCGGAAAGCTCCGTGCTGTCTCTCGTCTCAAGGCCAAGAAGTAAACTTAAACCAGCTGATGGTGGTGTGATTGAACACTCCTTCTGAGCCAGCACCTCTCTTGCCCAACATGATCGTCAGCGATCTGACCGGGGGATGATGTTTGTGTGGAGCTTGAGAATGAGAGTTTGTGCCTGCGGAAGTAGTGTAGCTATAATGCGTGAATTTCTAATAAACCTATCAAACACTGCAACTGTTTTCGCTCGAAAGCGCACCACTGCTACCATGGCCGTTTAATCTGTTTGTGTGTTTGAAACGATCCCCTGAGTGCATAGATGTTGAGCAGTATAATGGTAGGATGATTCAACTTGTACAGCATAAAGAGCAAGAGTAGGAGGAACAGCAAAGGAAAAGAATAATTTTACCCCACGAGGACAAATACTCTCATTCTCTGACCGCTAACATACCAGTATGTAGTGCCTGTGCACCAGGACAAGATAGCCCGAGCATGTCAACTCATCTCCTCCTCCCTCCCCTCAGCTCCTCTTCACGTTGACGCTGGCGAACTTGTGGGTCCCCCTGAAAGTATGAATCCTGCGCAGGATGTCTCGCTGCAACCAGGAGGGATCAGTCGAGTCAGAGGGCTCCGGGGCCTCCTCCTCACCTTTGTGGTGATGCCGACCAGCGCGCCGTTGCGAACGACGAGGACGTAGCGGAGGCGCAGAGCTCGGAAGGCGTCGATGACGCGGTTGAGAGGAGTGGTCTCTACGATCTGTGAGAAGGAAAGTTGGGAAAGTCAGTTGGACAGGATGGGATGGGAACATCAGCAGATGAGGCAAGGAACTTCTGTCCCTGACATCTCAGATTCCAATGGTAACCCTCGATCCTCCCCGCTCCTCTTCCTTCTCCGCTCCTCTGCTCCCCCCGCTCCTCCCACTCCATACACCTCCTTCCCCTCCTCTTTCTTTCTGCTCTCCGCAACATCTTCATCCTCCCTCCGCTCTCTTCTCCTTACCTGGATCGGGCTTTGGTCGAGCCAGGGGTTGAAGTCGAGGTAGGGGGCGTTGCGGGGGAAGGGCCTATCGTTGGTGAAGAAGCACTGGGTAGCGTCTGTCATGTCCGGGGTCTTAGCGTTGAGCACGGTCTCCAGGTTGGCACGTGAGATGTAGCCGATCAGTTGCATGCTGTCCATGGACTTCACGATGGGATACCCGCTGAACTCTGGTGAAGAGAGCGAGTGAGGAGGAGCGCAGAAAGAGAATGGGAGGGAGAGGGGAGAGTGGAGAGAGGGAGAGGGAAGAGAGGGAGAAGACGAGAGAGAGGAGACACTGACCTGTTGTGTTAAGGAGGTTGGCGATGCTGCCGTAAGTGTTTCCTGTCGCATTTATGACGCACAGATCCCTTGACTTCATGACGTCTGCTGCCGTCTCGTTGAAGACAAACTCCATCTTGTTGTTGAGGTAGGGATAGTCGTGAAGAATGATGAGCTCGTCATAGATTCCTGTCAGACTGGTGAGATGCAGGCGCAGGAGGAGATTTGCGGAGGAGAAGAATGGGCAACGTCATCCATGAAAGGAGAGTGTCGGAGCAAAAGAGAAGGAGAGAGGAAAGCAAAAGAGGACGAGGAGGTAGAGGAGAAGCGATAAGGTCTAAGTAAAGAACGAAGTGTTGAAGGAGGAGGAGGGGGAGGAGGAGCAAAAGAACGAGGAGGAGGAGTTCGGTTCCAACCATCGCGGCCGAAGGCATCGGAGACCCACTTGGCGACGAGGATGCAGATGGTGGTGGGCATGATGTAGTCGATGCCGTCAGTGAGCTCGAAGATGATGACAACGAGCGAGACTGTCATCCTTGAAACAGCCGACAGCATGGCAGCTGACCCGATGATCGCGTACACCCCCGGGGTGATACAAGGGTCGTGCCCTGCGCACTCTGCGAAGAAACCGACGTCTCCTACTCGCTCCTTCGATGACATCGCGTCAGAGAAGGAGGATGGAGTCACAAGCGACAAGACAAGAGGAGGACAGGAGATCAGCTGAAAGGGCACACTGACGAAACTTCCTCGACCCTATCGATCCCTCCCCAACTCCTCCTTGCTCCTCGCCTCCACTCCTCTCCTCATCTCCCTCCGCATTCCTCCTTCCCCTCCCCGCTCATGTCCCCTCTGCCTCACCTGCACTAGACTCAAGCAGAAGCCGAAGACTCGTCCCAGACAAGCCCCGACGGCCATGGAGGGGACCATGTGCCCTCCCGGCACGATGGTGTTGGGACCGAAGATGGTCAGGATGAACTTGATGAGCGCACAGGCGAGGAGGAAGATGATGATGTTTGATGCGTCGCTTTCCACGCAGAGCTGAAGAATGCAGAGTGAGGGAGGATGGTAGAAGACGAGGAAGAGGGAAAGGAGTTAGTAACAGAGAGGGGGGGAGGAAGGGGGGGGGGGGGGGGAAAGAGAGAGGGGGAAGCGATAAAAAAAGAGATGGAGAGAGACAAGGGGGGAAGAGGGGTAAAGGAAGAGGTGTGAGGGAAGGGGGGGGGGTGAGAGAGAGAGGGAAGAGAGTGGGAAAGGACATAAAGATGAGAATACATGGAAAGAGCAGCCAACATAAATCGTAGAGTGAGGAGAAATGTGTGAAGCAAAGGGCAAAGGCTACAAGTCAAACCTGGTCAACCGTTGCGTTCGTCTCATACTTGCAATCCGAGTACAGAGCGGCAAGAAGATCCTGCAAGAAATATGAGCAGCCCGTTGCCGTATCGGGTTGCCCACACCACCTCCCATCCCTCCACCTTCACTGTTCTCCACTACTCTTTCGTTTCCTCTCCTCTCCTCTCCTCTCCTCTCCTCTCCTCTCCTCTCCTCTCCTCACCGTTGTATCCATCCTCAGAAAAGTTGAAAGATAGGTCGCCGATGCCGAGAGAAAGGAGACAACTGCAGCCTGCAGAGACCCTCAGGACTGTCCTCTCTCCACTCCTCCCCCCTCCTCTCCTCTCCACTCCACTCCTCTCCTCTTGCCTGCCCTCTCCAACCCTACCTCATAGAGAGGATGGCGGGCTATGCGGGTAGTCTGGCGGAGGTAGGCGTATCGCACCATGAGCTTGAGGAGGAGAGTGCCGAGGAGCCCGCCGATGGCCCCGAGCATGACGAAGATGGGCAGCTCGAACCAACCGAACGCGTAGTGGTAGGTGATCTCGAAGGCCACCAGCTTGCCGCTATGCAGGGGGTCGATTCCTCTCAGCGTGATGGCGGCGACGATGGCGCAGTAAAAGGAACGCCAGATTGTCTGAAGAGAGAGGCGTGAGAAGAAGGAGGAGGAGGAGGAGACTTCAAGGAAAGGAGGAGGGGGGGGCGGAGAAAACAAGGCAAGGGAGGAGGATGGGGTGGAGGGACGTCACTGACCTTGGGGGGGAAGTAGGAGCTCAGCATCTCCAAGCTGAAGAGAACTCCTCCTACAGGGGCTCCGAAGGCAACGGAGATGCCGGCAGCGGCAGCACCGGACAGCAGTTCGCGCTTCTTGACCTCTGACGTGGCGTACTTGGAGAAGTAGCGGGAGCTCACGTTGGCGACGCAGCATGCGATGTGCACGTAAGCCGCTTCTAGCCCAACGCTGAGCCCCGAGGCCACGGACAGGACGAGGGCGACGCTCTTGATCAACAGCACGCGTCCTCCTAGGTAGCCCTTCATCACAAACCCTCCCAGGATGGTCTTGATCTCAGGGATGCCGGACCCCGACGCGAAGGGAGCGAACGTCTTCACCAGCCAGGCCGACCAGGTTCCCAGCACAGTACACCAGAGCATGTAGAGGAGGTAGTCGAGGCCGTACCCCCGGTCCCTCTTGCCGCTCCCGGGCAGGCCCATGAGGAACTCCGACCATGTCCTCCACTGCCAGCACGAGTCCTCGTCCTTGGATATCCTGCAGCACTCCTTCCTCGAGTTCCAGAACCCTCCCTCGCTGCAGTAGCCGAACTTGAGGTCAAACGCCCACTCCCTCGACACCTGAATCATCCCAGCAAGCAGGCCTGTGAAGAACCCCACGATGAGGAACACAAACCAGCCCTCCCCTGCTGTCAGGCTGTCCGACAGGATCCTCCTCCACTTGCTCCGTGACCGGTGCCGCATCTGCCTGCTCTTCTGCAGCGCCTCTCGCAGCAGCCTGTCCCTCTCCGCCCCGAACTCCCAGTCCACCGTCTCGAAGGTGCTGGCGGTAGCCGACACCAGCTTCGATGCCGAAGTGCCATACGCAATGTCCCCGGAGCTCTTCTTGAGCAAGCTGGCGCTCTCTGACTCTGCCATGCTCTACTGCAAGCTAGGAGAGGCTAGGATGAGCGAGGAGTGTTGTCAGTATGGTCTGCTCGTGTGATGGAGGAGCAAGGTTCAATGAGCAGCAGGCGTGCTAGTCTGTCTCTCCTGCAGCCTCAGCGGCATAATTACAGGTCCTTCAGATCCAAACCTGCAGCATCACTTCAATCACCTCCCTCTCGCATCACATCACATTGCGCTCATTCTCGTCCTCTCAGCAACAACCCCGCGATCCTTTTGGGTCATTCGACCCCTCACTTGTTCCACTGGGTGTAACTCAATCTCATCGCAGCACTTCCAACTCACTCCCATCATCCACTCGCCTCTTTGATCAGTTTGCTCTCAATCATCATCATCACAATCATCATCTATCAGCTCTCCTCTCCTCCTCCTCTCCTCCCTCCCTTCCCGTTTCGCCATTTTGATGCTGTGCTGGACGACCGTTACGTACCTGTTGCGCTTCAACTACGACCGTTTCGGAGTGGGGCACCCCTATTTCGGGCATGGCAGGAGGCGCGGCTTGGGAGGTCGTTGTGGTGAGGCGCAAAAGGTATGAAGATGAGGAGGAAGAGGAGGTGAAGAAGGAGACAGAGCAGGAATGGAGCAGGAACAAGGCAAGATGGTGTGAGGGAGGAGGCAAGAAAGGACAGGGTAGGAGGAGGGAGAGGGCGGTGGAATGGGAAGGGAATGTAGAGGGTGATGGAGAGAGGGGAGAGGAGGAGCGGGACAGGGATGGAATGGAAGGCATGAAATGCAGAGCGAGCAAGATATGCAGGAATTAGAGATTTCATTGAATCGACAAGGGTGGAACTTAAATAGCCTCACCTGTTGCCACCTAGTTGATGTGTGAAGAATTTCCTCTCCTGTGTAAGAGGAAAATCGTGTAATGGCAGAGTGGAAGCTGCGTTGTTTCTGTGTTTGATCCTTTTACTTCATGTCTGATGCTCGATTGGTCAACAGCGAGTCTTACAAACGTGGAGTTGCCGCGCTCTGTGCGCTCGCGCTTCTTGCTGTTGTGGTGAGTCACAAGCTGTGTTCGACAAGGTCTGTCTGAACACCTGGTTTCACAAAAGACCCTTGTTGCGTTGAGACATCAGAATGGGCAACAAGCTGGTCTGGCGCAGGCGTTCTTCAATGGCAAACGTTACAGGGTACAGGGGCTGCTATCCGTCTCCAGGTAGGCGGAACTTCTCCTCCCCACCCGCGCAGATTCTCATCAGAGTGGTCAGCCCGATTCAGTCTGTCTCCCCTTACAACGACAACTTCTTTGAGCCGGAGCCCATCGATGACTATGGCATCTACCGTGAGAGACAGGTTGTTGGCTCGCACGACATCGTGACTGACTTGCTCGTTGACCCTGCAGCTGCAATGAAGTTCTCAGACTACACCAAGGTGAGGAGACGGGAGCGCGCTATGACTCAAGACAAGGGCGAGCCAGACTCGGGCAATGAGTACCAACAGAAAGCGAGTCAGAGCGGCTTCCTGGAACCCATCTTGAATGTGCGTTTACGTCGCTGTGCTGCAACGAGCCGTAACTGAAATCGTTCCACGACAGGCCGACGTGTCAGGGGAGATTCAGAATCCACCGAAGTAATCTACAACTTTGGAGGTAGCGACAGAGAATATCTCACTGTCAGGAGAAAGGGGAGGCGACTCAGAGAAGGTAGGATTGTAAAACAACAGGCTGATCAAGAGGCTGAGGCCTACGTGCCATCATCATCCGGATGGCATCATGGCACCGGTGACCCCGGCGGCAGCCTAGTATCTCAGAAGATCGGACGGTCTCGGATCGGACGTTAGCCGTGTCACTGTCGGAACGGGGGCCTTTCAACTTGAATTGGAACACCATTCAGGCCCGCTTTGTAAATTCTAATGTGTTTTGCTTCAAACTTTAAAGCAAAGTAGACCGTCTCTCTCCGAACGGCGCCCGGCCCGGCCCGGGCCGGGCGCGGCCGCCCGGAACGCCCTCCGAGGCTCAGCGCCGGCCCGGGCCGGGCCTGCGGCCGCCGCTGGGCCACGGTCCGATCCCGGCGAGCCTGTGACAGGCGGCGCCAGCTTCAACTCGGACCATTGCCGCTAACTAGTAAGTCTCAAGTTACCAACGGTACGGTCGGGAACTCACAGTGACTCGGAACATCATCCCACTTGGCAGGTCCGGGACTTGACTTCCAGCCTCCGTGAGGCCCTGAGGCTCGGTTCCCGCAAGTTCACCGGGCCCCCGGGGCCCGGGCCGCGCACAGGCAGTCGGAGCCTCCCGGCGCGGCCGCAATGATTCAATGAACTAATTTCCGTTAAAACGACGTTATCTCCGTTACATACCGTTGAATATAGAGGGACCGGTACTTTTGCCTTGAAATGACCGGAGCAGTAACAATTTCTTTTCTTGATGGGGTCCTCTTTGTCTGAAGGTTGTACCAAATTCATAATTAGTGAGAGAAAGTTTCGAATTAACACAAAGTAAATCCAATTTTTGATTAATTTTCAAATATGAATACGAAACAAGAAAATTCAACTAGTGTGGAGGAGGTGCCGTAGCGAAGAGCCGCGGAGCTATGGCATCGTACGGCTCCATGCCGCATGGGCTTCTTCCTGCTGCTGGGAGAGACTCCTCTTTCAAGCTCTCAAGGAAGACCATGGTTGCTGTTGCTTCTTCTCTGGCTGCTGTGATGGCTCTGGTTGCACTTGTCCTTGTGCGATCACGAGGAAACACTTCGGTAAGTGACCTCTCTGTGAATGCATGCTGCAAGGTCAGGAAGCGGTTGGCAAATGCGCGATTCTTTGTCTATGCTCATGAAATCTTAATGACGATGTTGCTGATGAATGTATCGTGTAGGAGTTGTTGCAGAAGGCAGTTGCTGTCAAGTATGTCTCCGCGCCATCAACTGTTAGATATGTTCCAGTCAAGGCACTCGGCCCTAGGAGCGTCAAGGCCAAGGCGCCTGCTGTCAAGTACGTCCCTGTGCAGGAGGTCAGAAACGTCAAGACTGGCAAGATTGAGTACATCCCTGTGAGCATGATGTCGTTGCCCAAGCGTAAGCTGGTCAAGGCCCAACAGCTGCGCATTGGCGGAAAGGGAACTCTCCGAGCTGGTTCGGTTCTCGCTGGTGAAGGGGAGGAGGCTGCTGCTGGCGAGGAGGCTGCTGCTGGCGGGGAGGCTGCTGCTGGCGAGGAGGCTGCCGCTGGAGAGGAGGCTGCCGCTGGAGAGGAGGCTGCTGCTGGAGAGGAGGCTGCTGCTGGAGACGCTGCTGCGGAAGGAGAGGAGGGATCTGCTGATGAGGCTGGAGCTGATGAAGTTCCTGCCGCTGTGACCCCCCCAACTCCAGAGGAAATTGCCAAGGCTTTGCAACGCATCCAGGAGCGTGATATCCAGGAGCAGACCTTCCACGACACCCTTGTTGATGCTCAGACCGGCCAGCCCGTTCATGTTCCAGGAGTTGCAGGATCAGCGCACAATGGTGTTTCTGGAGTCGGTGAGGAGCTGCGTGTCGTTCGAATATATACATGCTGACTTGCCACAGGTGGTATCTTCGGCGTTGGAGGATTCCTTGGGCCAGACTATCCTATCTCTGACTCCGTCAGGTACGAGAACGCAGTCACCTCGGGCCCAGCATGCACTTGCACCTCTTGCACGGGAAGCCCACCAGTATGCACGGGCTGCACATGCCGGTAGAGAGTGAATTAACTTCGCCGGATGCGAAAGAGCTCGGAGTGTCGGTCACATCGGTGGTGTGTATTGATGAAGGATGGAACGAGATTGTGTGGTGCAACAAGAGACCTTTGGAACCAAACTGTCAAGAGAGGGTCTAGAGTTTGAAACCCACAAAATGAGGACAAAAAAATAAAAATTCTGAAAGATACATCATGTTGGGGACTGTTAGTGTAGGTCAAATAGAAGAGACTCCCCGGAGATCAGGAGCATGGCGATGAGAGTGTGTTTATTGGGTCCATGTAGGTACATGTATTGGGTCCATGTAGATACGTCATCACACATCAAAATTCACATCTGCCAGCTCTGCGATCCTTACGAGATGATGCTCTTTGGCTCCACACGGGGCCCGAAAGCCTCGACCTTGTCGCCGTCGGTGATGAGGAACTTGGCGAAGTTCCACTGAATGTCCCCGCAGCTGGTTGCGTCCTTGAGTTTCTTGTACAAGGGATGAGTGTCGTTGCCGTTGACGTTGATCTTGGAGAAAAGGGGGAACTTGGCGTTGTACTTGGTCTCAACAAAATTCTTAATCTCTGCCTCAGTTCCTGGCTCCTGGGCACCGAACTGGTTGCAAGGGAATCCAAGAACCACCAGGTCGGGAGCGGTGTACTTCTTGGTGAGCTCAGCTGCGGAGAGAGTCAGCAACTACTTGCAAGAGTTCACAAAAGAATCACCGATCTCCTTGTAGTTGGAGTCGGTGAGCCCGCACTTGGAAGCCAGGTTGACGATCAAGACCTTCTTGGCGCTGCCATAGCTGGACCCAAGGTCGACCTCCTTGCCATCAATGTCCTTCGCCTTGATACCATCGAGAAACTTCGCAGACATCCCGAGAGCACCGCTCTTCTCTGCGTTCCTGAAGCCTCCTTGGAATGCAAGAGCCCTGGATCGCCCGGACCTGAACAAACCAGGGCAACTGTCACTCCTAGGAAGAGACTCTCGGCTGCTACGAAGCGTCTGGGTGAAGGAGGAGGAGAGGGGGGAGGAGAAGGCAGAGCATCCGGCGATGAGAACCGCCAGCACGCAGCTTCTAAGCGCCATCGTCACCGTTTGTTTATGAGCTACCCTTCAACCCTTATGTGTATATAAACCCTACCACCCTACCCTTGCACTCATCCACAAATTCATGTTATCAGAAGGGGTACTAGGTATAACCGGTGATGACAACCACCCCCCACAAACATCCTCTGCGGCAACCCCCTCATTTTCCTTCTTTCCCTCAGTCCGATTCCCTTGAAAACTCTTGAGTTGTTCACTTTCCAATAAGATTAATTCTGTGTCATCTGCATCAACACAACACAGCCTGAATGTGGATTCCTAACAACAATAAAGAGTTGCATGAGATGACGTCCCTGTTAAAAACTTGAGCATGTAGGACATTGGATGGATGATTCATTCAGTTGCAAAGAAGGTAGTTGAGTTGATAGGTGACATGTTTTAAGTATCTACAAGTGGTTATCCAGTCTCATCAGCTAAGATTTTGCATTTCTGTACGAGGGCAAGCGTTCTTCAGAATCCATCACTACAAAGGCGAAAGATGTGGAGGAAGAGCCTTCTTCTCCTGGATCTTGCTCTGACATTTCGTTATACTCTCCTGTAACGAACGCGTCATAGTCTGCCATTGCAATGATGTGCTTTGCACCATCAAGTTCGTGAGTTCCTTCCGAAACTTGGAAAATGTTTCCTTGGCGCAGCAAAATCAGACCTATACATCGAGCATACAAAATTTGAACCTCCCTCACGACGCTTTTGCTGAATCGTGCACTCTCATACAAACGAAGATATCGTAATGCCGTTTTGGAATCAACATCTCTGTACGTAGGAACCGTCAGAAGGGTTTGGTCCGAAGGGAGAGAATGTTTGTCGTCAAGTCTGTTTTACTTACGGGTAGCGCTTCATGATGAGTAGCATCGCTTCCCGCGGGTTGAATGTCTCTACGTTTTCCCTGCCATTCCCAGTCACTCGTTCGCAGCCCTCTATCGTGTTCCTTACGAGAAGGCTGCATTCAGATCTTTCTTGCAGCATTTCAACACAATGTCGCTAATTTTCACCAGCATCAGAGCATGGCCGATGGAGCAGAAGCAAATCCTCACCGATAGGATGTTGCAATCAGAGATCGATAGTTTTTCAGCTCGCCGTTGGAGTTTAATCGACCCCATCCCGGCCTGCCATGTCCGACTGTGAGGAGTAGGAAGACACAAAGATCAGCCATCTTCTCACAGATTGATGTGTTTGTCATCTGGCTGGAATCTCGAAGAAATATCACATGATCTGCAAAGGACTATGAGCGGCCCTCACTCCTTTGAGATGGAAACTTTCATGCGTACCTGTACAGGTTTTTGTTGAGGAGAGTTCTGTGGCTTTTCGGTATGTGTGGTAGTTTTGTTTCAGTCACTGAAGCCGAGAGCGCAAAAATGATGCTCTGTCCATTGCTAAATCTTTGTTTCACGTCCTGGCCTTCAAATGAACAACACGAGGAGTGTCAGGTAGTCTACACACCTGTATTTCTTTCCTCCTCCTCCCAGCCCTGGAAACCACACAGGTCAGGGATCGACGGGACATTGGTCAGTCAAACCTAGATCCCGTGAGACCAAAGAGGAGCACGACAAAGATGAAGGCGATCGGAATGGCACTGAGCACCTGCAACGGCACATGAGGGTTGGGAGATCGTCCGTCGTCTCTTCTCGTTTGAAAGACAAACTCACATAGATCGTGCGCTCGAACGTGATCGACTGGTTGATTGTAGTCTCGCTCGCCACAACCGACATGTTCCATACCACCTATAGCAGACGATGCATTGCCGAGTGCGCGGCGAGGTAGAGCAGGCTCACAGGGAGGGAGGGACGGGAGGGAGAACTTGAGAGGGGAGAACAAGTTGAGGGCAGGAAGTGGATGAGGGGTGCAACGACGTGAGGCAAACGAAGAAGAAGAAGAAGATTGTTGACGAGTACAATGAGGAGGAGGAGCAAGTGCGAGGGAAAGAACGAAGGTGATTGTTGACGAGTACAAGGAGGAAGAGCAGGAGCAAGTGCGAGGGGAAGAGCGGGCGAGAACGAACAGAGTGGAGGAGAGGCAAGGACACAACTAGAGCAAGGCAGCAAATCAATTAGCTAAATTTATTACTGTCCAACTTCATCTGCTGCCGGGCGGCCGAAGTTTTCCCGGGCCGCCCGCGGCCGCGGCGGGGGCCGCGGGCGGCCGGCCGGAAGCCTCCCGGAGTCCGACCGTCTCTGATGATCGGACTTGACGTTTCAAAGCCCGCCCAAGCCGGCCGGGCAGTGTGGTTTCCGCGGACCGGCGGGCGGCCCGCGCCAGCCCCACCGCCTCCGGGCCGCGGCCGCCCGGCCGGGCCGCGGCCGCCCGGCCGGGCGGCGCACTGCCGGGCAGCCCGGGCCGGCGCGGCGCCTTGAACGGTTGATCACTGATGCCAACAGATGCCAACCGTGAGTCGGAGTGCGGCGGCCGCTAGTGCCGCCGGCCGCGCCGCGGCCGCCCGGCCCCATCAGCCCGGCGGCGGGCCCGGCGGCGCCGGACTCCGGGATGATCATCAGCGGCAGGAACACGATTCAGCTAATTGAATTAACGTTGATAGTTTTGAGTTGAACTCGAGGCAATTTCCGCAGGCTTGCGACCCCTGAGCGGCCGGTTGTCAAGATCTCGACTACCCCTACCCAGTGTCACTTGTCACATTTTATATATATATTGGAGGTACCCTACCTACTCTAATCACTGACCAGGACCCTTGTTTCAGTAGGCTCATATCGGAACCATCGCTACCATCGCTACCATCGCCACTACCCCCACCCTCAACTCTGGAGGCTTTCAGTACCCCACCCGTAATCCTTTTTAGTTCGCTCTTTCATTCCCCCATCCATCATGCCGGGAGGAGCTTGACTTGAGACTTCAGCGAACGTCCATGCAAGGGTAGGCTGAGACAGCGATACACCGGCGCATGGTGGGGATGGTCAAGGAGACATCCTGAAAGAAGCCCTGTACAAGCTCTGAGAGGAGCCTGTCAACCGTCAAGGAGATATCTTGACAGCAGTTCGTCAAGGCAAGCTGAGTGGATCTTGAAGCTTTTCAAAGTCACCAGCACTTGCCGAATCGAGTCAGAGATCGAAATATTAGCAAGCAGCATCCTTCTTCCCTGTCTTGATGAGATTGTGAAGAATTGACCGTGCTTACGTTGACAGCTCTTGAGACAAAAAAGTTTCTATCAGGTTGAGCAGGAATTGATATCCTTAGGAAAAAAATGCAATGGTGATATCAAGACTTTGTTCTTCTCTAGCACATGTGACTGGTCGTGCAGGTATGTGCAGATCGGGTTTGTTTTGTTGAGCATGGTCGTCGTCATCTATCTCGTCCAATTCTTCGGCTTGATAGACCTGAGGAAGATTTTCTGTTCCCGAGCTTGCTTCGGAAAGCGTCAAGACAACTTGCCCTCCAAACCCGTGGACAGTGAGGACATCTCAGTGGTTGACTCCGCGCACACAGACAACTTCGACCCACTGAAGGACTTCCCACACGACTCTGCTCTTGCCAAGACCCATGATCGACTCCGCGACTTTCCCGACACGGACTCGGGGTCTGAATTCAACGACAGCTTCAGGAATCCCCCGAATGGCAACGTGCTGCAGCACAACATCTTCCCAAGGATCCCGCCCAGACAGCCCATGGCTATTGACCTTTCCCAAGGGTCCGAAAGCAGCTTCAGTCACGCCCTCCTACCCAAGACTCTGGAGCATTCCGACGAGGAGTCTGAGGACGAGATGTTCGCCCTGCCAACGCTAGCCAGGAAGAAGTCTCTGCTGCCAGACAAGTCGAGGCTTCAGCAGGAGGAGCCCGACCAGGGTCTGCGCAGCCTCTACTCTCCGACTGGAGAGTCAGATTTCAGGTCCACTCGTACCGCGAGCACGGCCTCCGGTGACGAGCATCCCCTCCGCGATGCCATGCTGGAGCGGCTGGAGGAGGAGGACGGGGAGGATGCAGACTCCGATGTCTTCGTCCTTTCAAAGATGAGCTCGAGGCGCCCAGGTCATCAGGTCGAACGATCAACCCATCAGGTCGAACGATCACCACCGTCAGGACCCGGACTGGAGCGGGCGGGGCAGGAGCTTCCCAAGAGGGCTTTCCCGGCACCGAATGCGAGAGGCGGCAACATCGCTCTCACTACAACGCAGTCCATCCAGCACCTCAAGAAAGAAATCGAGAGGCAAGGCCAGCACACGACCACACTCAATGAGGGCGTGCAGACAGACTATGACGAGGAGTTCGACGAGCCGTCAGCCCTCAACAGCAAGAAGGATGCGCAAGGAGATGGGTCAAGCGAGATGGTCCCTAAGACCCTCGAGCTGAACCTGCGGATCATCCGAGCACAGTTATCAAAGATGAAGGACGCAGACCCGCCGGACAGAGCCAAGAGCTCCCCGAGGACGGTCGAGTTTAGAAGCTCCCTCCCGCCCGAGCGAGGCAACAACAGGCAGAGCGACTTTCCTCCATCGCATCCGGTAAGAGATGTTGTGCTGTGTGCTGTGTGTGCTCAGATGCCCGTGTCCTCGTCTCCACGTGCTTTCTTGGTCTAGCTCCTGACGACTTCACTTGCTTCAGATGTCCTCCAGCAACGTCCGAAGGAACCGCACTATGAGCCCCAGGGCCGTTCCCATGCTCTCCGACCAGATGCACGCGCTGTACTGGGCCGCAGTAGGCGGAGGGAACGACTCGAGGCCGGGGACCGCTCGCCTGATCACTCCGAGGCAGTCCTCCCCCCTCGCTGAGTCCGAGACCAGGAGGAGTCAGACTCCCTCTCGCGCTGACATGCTCGCTGCGCTTGCATCCAAAGTCGTCACCCCCAGGAGTGCGCAAAACTCGGCTCGAGGCTCCAGCTACCAGCCTCCTCCCTCGCTGGACGGGCTGGAAGTCAACACGCCACGCAGCGGCTCGATGCACTGGTCTCAGATCGCAGAGGAGAATCAGAGGTCGCAGAGGAGCGAAAAGTCGAGCAAGGATGTCTTCCTGCAGATGCTGAAGCCGAGAGCGGCAGGCGCGCAGCTGTGAGGAGAGGGAGTTTGAAGTTGAACGTCTTGATAAACCCTCGATCTCCTGCCCCTCTCTCCCCTCACCGACTCTCCCGTCCGCCAGCTAGCAAGGGCGCCGGGCTGTCAGCCTACCAGGAGCGTACAAGTCAGATACTCATGGCATGGAAGAAGTTGTGGAGACTGGTGTCCTGAAGACCAACGGATCACTTGAACGATCTCTCACTTGTTCTCCGCGATGAACGCAGTCGGAGGAAGCAGCGAGGAGTTGTTAGAGTCCATGGTTGCCCTTCCTTCCTATCAGGGATGGTCTCCACTCTTCTTCCTACTCCGTGCTCCGTTCCCGTCTGCCCCCTTCCTCAGTCAGTCAGGCCTCAGGTCAAGGTGAAGAGATAGATGACTAGCAAACTTTCCGAGATTCAGAGGGAGTGCCCTTGAGTCCACAAGGCCCCTCGGTAGCACGAGCGTGTTTTCGAACTTTTGCTCCCTCCCTCATCCTCCACTCGGTAGCAGACGGATCGCGCGAGAGTGAGTAAGACGAGCAAGACGAGTATGGTCAGAAGGAGCAAGACACTTATGGCAGCATCGCAGGAGCCTGCACACAAGATTTATTCAAAAACACTTTTCATACATTAGTTCGGAACGGTTGACGATGACTGGCTGGGGGTTTGAGTTGAGATCGCAGGTGATCTTTTGAAATCATAGGCAAGCGATGCAGGGCAACGGAACGGAAACGGGAGAGCAGAGCAGAGCAGAGCAGAGCAGAGCAGAGCAGAGCAGGGCAGGGCAGAGCAGAGCAGGGCAGAGCAGAGCAGAGCAGAGCAGAGCAGAGCAGAGCAGAGCAGGGCAGGCCACTCAGAACGCTGGGATAAACTGACGTCTACAAGGTCACGATTACAATCTGATCAGCGGGACATCATGTCGCGCCACTCGCAGTAGAACTCGTGGAAGCCTGCCTTGGTCATGATGTCGTAGAAACCCCGCAGGTGGATCTGAAGTCGCAAGATCTCAAGTCAATCGCAGCTGAAGGCGCAGGCAGGCAAGCAGGCAGCGCAGCAGAAGCAGCAGCAGCATGATGATGATGATGAAGAGGAGAGGATGAGGTGGTGGTGGTGCAGCAGCAGCAGCAGCAGCAGCAGCAGCAGCAGCAGCAGCAGCAGCAAAGTTTTGTTTCTCTCTGCTACCTGAACCTCAATGATGTAGCGCTCAACCGTGCCCTGCTCCCATTCCTCCACAGGGAGAAAGACGACGCTGTTCCTGTTGAACGTCCAGCCGACCTCGAGGTGCAGGGAGAGGTCGCGGTAGCCAGTCATGGGGTTGAAGACCTTGCTGCTGGAGTGAAAGCGATTCTTGACGTGAGTAATGCGGAAGAACTTTTCTTTCTTGGTCGTCGAGCTCTCAGTCCTGACCAGCTTCTGCCGCTCCTCATCGCCTGCCCACCTGTCTCTGTTGGTCAAGAAGCCGTTGACATAACTCTGAACATGCGACACGACTCGGCGATGGAAAGATCCCCGGGTGGTACTCAGGGGCTCGCTGTCCCAAGAGCTGGTTCGTTCTTCTCCCATAACCGACATGATCGTCTCGTCCGCAGGGTTCGCAGGTTCGATGCCGACTAGCGATCGCTCCCGGATCAAGTTGAGCACCTGCAGCAGCTGCTCGACAGTCTCGGCGACGATGGTGCAGCGGACAAGATCTGTCAGGCAACCCACGTCGCGCCGGTACGAGCGCACGCACTTCTCGATGGCTCGTTGGGGTTGCTTCACGGGACCATAGATGAGCATCGGGTACTTGCCGACGGTCAGCTGCGAGCTGCCATGCCGGACTTGGAGGGGAGCGAGGAGGTCAGAGAGGAGGTCGTGAACGGCGGAGTTGATGGTGCTCGCCTGCTCGTACAGCTGGTCCAAGTTGGAGGAGACTTGTCGGATCTTTCCGCTCGACTGTGAGCCCTCGGCCGCCTTGAAGCGCCCGAAGCCCTTGTTCCTGAGCTGCCAGAAACGCTTCCATGGGTGCACGCGAGATCGGCAGTGGTGAAACTGCCGGACGAGCTCCTCCTCCACCTTGGACGTGACCTCCCACAGCTGCTGCAGTGGCCCCCGAGTGACTTGCTGATCGACGATCGCGATAGGATGAAGTCGTGAGCTGCTGTGCAGCATCCTGAAGGTGCTTCTCCTGTCGCTAACGCTCTTCTCCTCGTCGCGCTCGCTGCTGTGGTCGGCACCTCCCGAGAGGGAAGTCGCCTGCAGGCAGTTTTCCCAAACTTTGCGGTACTGCTGAACGTTCAACCCCAGCTTCTTCCGGGCCACCCGGATGGTGGTGACGCGGATGACAGCAAAGTACACGAAGAGACCAAACGTGAAGATGGACGTGAATAGAGTCATCAGGAAGTACAAGGGATACTCCCTCCACAGGTAGGAATAAGTTACAGACAGCACGAATGCTACAAGTAACCAGGAAGGAATCCAAAACTCCTCCCGGTACTCGAAGACCAAGTACACGAACGTGGAGGCTGGTATGAACATCAACAGCTCGAACGCTGTCCCATTCACTGACAGGGTGTCGGCTACTGTCCAGCCAGGCTGGTGCTTTCCCGCCAGGATCTGGGCGATTTCTGCGGCTACTCCAATGAGGAACATGAAGTTGATACGGAAGATTTGCTTCTTGAGCGTCGCACACGCCTTGTGCGGTCGGACGTATCTTGCTTCAAAGACGGTCTTGAACAGCGTGATCGAGGTGGATGCCCATAACGGCAGGTAGTAAATGACCTTGAACCACAGGATCACCCCAAAGTCCTTGGACTGCCAGGTGGTCAGGGAGTCCATCTTCAACTCAGTCAGGGGCACAAGGCAGACGACGGCAAGCACAGCACACATCACTTGCCCCTGCCACTTTGAGATTACAATCTCAATGGCGTTGGTAGTCCAGACTGCAGTTCCGATGGCTGTCGTCGAGTCTTTGAAATCGAGCAACCTCTGAGAATATCGGTTCGATCTCTTCTGTCCCTTCAGCTCTGCGATGGCCATTCGGAGTGCGACTTCTTGACCTTTTCGGCATGAGAACAAATCTTGGCCTTCACGTTCTGATGCGAACATCTCATGAACGTCGTTGTCTGTCAGGTTGGCTGCCTTATACAGCGAGTCGACATGGTGCTTGACAAGCATGTGAGAAAGTCCTAGGAGGCCGCACTCCTCCAGCCACTGCAGCACCTCGAGTCCTCCCGGAGTCTTGAAGGCAAACTCGTTGGGATCGAGCAGAAGTCTTTCGAGGTCGCGGATGACAACGTCGAGTATCTTCCCAGCGCAGTAATCAAGGAACTGCTCGTCCGGCTTCATCTCGGACGGTTTGCAAGCCTGGTGCTTGAGAATCATCTCCACAGTCTGCTTGATTGTCCTCTGCTTCATGCTCTGGATCTGCTTCTCGTCGACGTCGAGCATCGACAGGATCGCAGCAGCTCTCTCGTTCGTCAGCACCGAAGGCCTCTCCGGCAGCATACGGATGCCCGACCACGAGAATTCGGAGAACGTGCCATCGTCTCCTCTGGGGCCAAGGAGGATAGGGAAGATGGATTGCAAGTGTGTGCCCTCCTTGCGGCACCACTCGATGGCGATGATGTACTCCAGCAGGACGTTGTCGATTCGATCTTCTTCAGCAAGCGACAACAGCTCTCCGAGGGACCCCTTGAACCTCTTGGCTCCCGTCGTCTCGTCAGTTTCCACGTAGAAGGACAGTACAGGGACGAAGAGCAGCGAGTGCGCCAACCCGAGCACCAGCCCTGCCTCCCAGTCCTTGCCGTTCTCCAGGCAGCGCTTGTCAAGAAAGCCCTTGACCCCACTCTCTGCCTGCGCCGTCGGCTTCTTGACGCACCTTGGCCAGGTCCCTTTTGCTCCGAAGGGCAGGGGCTTCTTGTCATTGGAGACTCGGGTGATCTCGTCGTACAGTCCTTCCACTAGCTCCTCCTCTGTCGACACCCTGTAGGACAGGAAGAAGTGAAAAAGCTCTGCTCGCAGACTGCGCAAGGGTCGTGGCTTCCCCGTCTGTATCGTGGGGGAAGGAGGGGTCAAGCTTGTTGTCTGCACGCTGGATGAAGTAGTCTGGATGTTAGGATGCTGAACCCTTTGGGAAAGAGGCAAGCACAGAGCTGGGATGTTACCTTGCTCGACCCCAAACCCGCTCACGTCTTCGTGAACTCTATCCATCGCGGTGACCTTGGGTGGGATGTATACTCTCAAGTGTTACGCTGACGCCAGTCTTCAATGTGTTGAGAAATAATTTCGCAATGAGTGCAGCACTTGCTTTGTATCCAAAGGAAAGCTCGGGGAGGGAAGGGTCGCTCGAACAAAGTAGACAAGGAAGAAGCTGTCGAGTGATAGCGTTGAAGGACTCTGTAAGACTAGAGGAGGGTTGCAGTCGCTGGGATCAGGACCACCTGAACTTACTGAAGCTTAACTCGAGGGCTTCTGTAAGGGACGGGAGCTCAGCGTCTTGCTGGGAGACAAGCATCCGATGATCTTCCGCATCGCCTCGCACTGTCAGGGCGGCTCCAGCTGTCGTAAACTGAAGTCGGAACAAAACGTGTCAAAAGGGAAAAGGGGGGGTGGTGGACTGATGCCCGGCCCCGTTTCCACTCCTGGAGGCCCAGTGACCTGTTGATTGTCCTCGTACTAATTTTTGACTTAACTTTCAGTGAGTAAACTTGCCCCGACAGTTCCGTTCAACTCGAGTCTGTTTTTCGTCACGCCGTCGCGACTTAATTTCGAGTAAAGTTCAAAGGTAGTAACTTAACTTGGCTTTGAATCATCCGAAGGCAGGTGCCACGGTCACGCGCCCGGCCAGGCCCCGGGCCGCGCAGCCCGGGCCGTCACAGTGACAGTGAGACTCAGTCGCGCCGCCGCGCGCCCGGCGGTCCGTCACGTGACAGTGTAAACCAAGACGACTGACGTGTCCGACGGTCAAGGCGGCCCGGCCCATGTAGTAGCCGGCGTGTGGGCCCGACGAAGCCTCGGAGGGGGCTTTCCTAGCCGTCTTGCTAAGGTCCTCTCATGTCTGGATGCTCCGGGTTTCACATCCTAGCATACAGTCTACAGTGACTGAGTCACGAGTCAAGTTTTGTGTGCATTAAACTCGGTTTTGAGCAAAAATTGTCTTGTTGCAACTAAGGTCGATGCCACGGTCCGATATCTGCGTGACTGCGCGCCGAGCCGCTCGGAGACTCAGTGCCCGGCCCGGCGGGTCGGGCGCCGTGAGCCGCACCCGGCCGCCGCCCGCGTCACAGAGTCAAGTCCGAACTTCCCGTTCAACCGTTGAACCCGGGCCGGGAGGGGCCCGGCCGGCGAGTCCCGGCGGGCCCAGGCGGCGGGCGGCCCAGAGCCTCCGAGACTCCGGATTGTTAGGATCATCATGAGGGTGGGCACCGGAATGCCAGTCGTCACCGGTCGTCATCAGAGTCATGGCAGCACTCGGGGTCCAAAGGACGGGTGGTTTCGCTGAAAAGCTATTGAGGGTAGGGTGGCAAGGTAACTACATGGGTACAGGGTTGTTGCAGAAGGGGTGTACATGCTGATCTCCGGGCCGAAATGGGGTGGGTGTGTTGTGATTCGAATTAGAGGGGTGGGGGTGGTACAAGAGGATGAAACTGCTGGGGTATGAATACTGTGTTGACTGGGGGTAGGGTAGGTGGCCGTGTTCGCTCAATGAGCTTTGGAGGTGTGGGGTTCTCAACATGTTCTATAGGGCAGCATCAATAATAAAGGTATGGTAGGGTAGTATGAAAGATGGGTAGGGTACAAAAGCACCGGTCATGAGAAGGTCATTCTTGCTATGGACGAGCGGGTGGAAATCCATTTGACAAGGTGGAGAAATGGGGTGGGTGAGTGAGTACGGGTCTAAAACAGATGCAATTGTGGGTAGTGGATAGCAGGCATTCTTGCTAGGTGGTGGGGTGTTCAGGAGGAAACCGAGGGGTACAGAATCCCCATGTCCACAGGGGGTGGGGGTACAATATCCTTGTAAATCACCCCTGGCTTGCAATCTATTATTCGACAGTATGAAGGTAGGGTACTCACATCGAAACACTGGGGTGCCTCGTATCCATGACAATTGGGGTGGGGGTGATAAATTGTAGGTGGGGGTCAGGAAGAAACAAGTGTTGTAGGTGGGTGGTGAAAAAACAGGGGTGGTCAAATTGCAACAGGTGGTGGGGCCTGAAATCACGCATTGTGATCGCACTCTTTCGTACTATGGGGTGGGTCAATTGTAGTCAAATGGAAGGGTAATATTTCATACCCACCCTTCCGCAAGTAGACGGTATTCAACGACATGGGTGGGTGGTCAATTCATACCGGTGCTCATCAAGACAGGGAGAGTGGAATGGGAGATACGAGTAGTACAAGATAAATTGTAGGGTAGGGGTAGAGTATTGTAGGGTGGGGTGTTCGGGGGTAGAGGAGGAGGCGGCCAGCGGCAGCGAAAAAAAATGCAGGAGAAGCGAGGCTGTGGGATATGGCAATGGTGGTAGGAAGAGGAGGAGAAGAATAACATGCTTGTGGAAGTGGAAGAAATGATGGGCAGGATCGGGTGAAGGAGAGGTAGAGGGATAGTTGTGCAGAGTCTGATAGGACCACCTTGAAGCATCACTGCTGCAGGCGCGCCGTAGGAATAGCAGGGAAGAGCGTGTTGACAAGAAGCCCATGGACGGATGAGGACAATGCAGAGAAGATTTATCTGTCCTTAGACATGTTGGACATGAAGTTAGGGAGGATGATGAATAGCCCAGACTTTGGAAGGAATTACAGTGTGACCGGACTGGATACGGAATCGAGAAGGTGACTGGAGGTCAGCGAATGCACGAAAGATCCCAAGCTGGGATAACTGATGTAAATGTGTTAAGAGGAAAACTAGAGGTGTATCGTCGTGCAGAGTGACCACAACGGCAGCATGTTGCGTTCTGTTGATATTGCAGCCCCTTGGTGATTAATTGCAGCATCCTGGTATTGAGATTGATCAGGTCGAAGAGTTTATCATGATGTTTCAGGATGGTATAATTACTTGGAAGCGATAGTCAACTAGTTTGTGAATTAGTTTGTGAACAAACTCGAACGAGTTTCAAAACAGTCGTAGCGATAAAAACTGAGGTATCAAATGAGTAGAACGAGCGGAGTTCAGTGGAAGGTAAGGTTCATTTACCATGAGGAAACTCTTCATCGAAATCACGATCGAATCGTGATTGCCATCAAATCTGAACTTTCATCATCGAAATGCAGAAGACATATATTTAACCAATTTTTTTGTCGATGAATTCCTAATGCTTTTTGTTCTGCAGGGTATTCAGCAACAACGTGAAAGGGGAACTGGATTTTCTATCTACATCTCTGTCTTGTCTGAATTGAACATCGTTTTGAAGGCAAAGCCGTGCAGATTTTTGCCGGCTGCCTGCAAACACGATGGACGACAGACATGGTGGAAAACGAAGTATAGATCACTACGTGCTCGGCAAAACTCTTGGAATCGGATCATTCGGCAAAGTTAAATTGGCCGTACACAAGGAGACAGGAATTAAAGTTGCGATAAAAGTCTTGAACAAGAAGAAGGTTCAAGCACTTGACATGAATGACAAGGTAGATTTGGCTCTTGAACTCTTTCTCATGCATTTTTTTCGGTTTTGGTAATTCTCGTTACTCTCAGGTATGGCGAGAAATCAACGTATTAAAGCTTTTTTCTCATCCTCATATTATCCGACTATACGAAGTCATCGACACTCCAACAGACATTTACGTGATTATGGAATATGTTTCAGGTGTCGTGAATGATGTTGTAAATTCTGTAGAATTGTAACTTGGCTTTGTCAGGCGGTGAACTTTTCGACTATATTGTGGCGAAAGGAAGGTTATCAGAGGAAGAGGCAAGGAGATTTTTCCAACAAATCATTGCGGGGGTGGAGTACTGTCACAAGTATATGGTCGTTCATCGAGATCTGAAGCCAGAGAATCTTTTGCTTGACGCAGCGCTGAATGTCAAGATTGCAGATTTCGGTCTCTCTAACATGATGAAGGATGGCGCATTTCTTAAAACAAGCTGCGGCTCTCCCAACTATGCTGCCCCTGAGGTCATTTCCGGACAGCTGTACGCGGGTTCAGAAGTAGACATGTGGAGCTGCGGGGTCATTCTTTATGCGCTGCTTTGCGGCAATCTTCCATTCGATGATGAAAACATTGCAAACCTGTTCAAGAAGATCAAGGGAGGCGTGTATTCTATGCCAGGGTATCTCAGTGAAGGATGCAGAGATCTTATCCCTCGCATGCTTGTTGTGGATCCACTCATGAGGATAAATGTCAGCCAACTTAGGCAGCACTCGTGGTTTTTGACGAACCTCCCAACTTATCTCTCAGCGCCGGCAGAGGTTCAAAACCACATTCTCACTGAACCCACTGGAAAAGGAAAGCCTAGAACTTATCCCTGTCTGCCCGATGACGATGTGAACGAAGTTATCATCACGGAGATGTGCCGCCGGCTGGAAATCGGGAAGCAGGATGCCCTCGAATCTTTGAAATGCGTCTCGAGCAATCAGATGACAGTCGCTTACAACCTCATCCTTGATGCACGCAAGTCTGTTGAATCGTCATCGCTCCACATCAAACACGTAACAACGTCCCAGCCTGCCGAATACCCCGAGTTTTGGTCTGCTCAGTCGCCTATCAGCTTTTCTTCGCTCAAAGAGGTGGCGAATCCGAAGATTGCACTAGGGCACGGAGGACAAGACGGAGGAGCAGGGGAAGCTCTTCACCATCGGTCTCCGCTTCGGAGCAAGGAGTATTATGGCCAGGTGAGATCGCGATTGGAGGTTGTGATCGAGGAGGAAGACTTGTTGACGTTTCCACGGTCCAGGGTGAATGGGGATTAGGGCTGACGTCAAGATTAAAGGTTTTTGCCCCTCTCCCTGGGTTGTTCTCCTGATCTTCTTGTACAGCCCGACGAGATCATGCACAGGATTCTTATCGCCTTGCAGTCTCTTGGTTCGGTGAGCAGATCCTGCCCTGCCTCCTTTTCTTCTCCTCTTGCCACACAGTCATTTTCTTTTCTCTCATCCTCCCTGCGACGCGTCATGTGATCGTTGCATCTATACAGGTCTGGAAATTCCAGAGTCCGTATCACGTCAAGTGTTGGTTTGGGCAACGAGGAGGACGAGGAGGCGACGGGCGGAGCTCCAAGGTTGGACATCTGAGCCCATGGACGGCTCAGTGCTGACTGAGATGCGGTCAGGTATCCGTGAAGATGAGCATCCTGCTCTATCGCAGGAGGGATGGATTTGGGTACGTGCTGGACCTGCGGAACACGGTGAACTCTTGGTAGCTCCTGTCACAGCTGTTGAGTGATCGGACGATGGCAGGACGGTAGCGCGATGCAATTCCTGGCAACGGTGCGAGACCTGACTAGCATCCTACACCTTGAATGAGGGGCGATGGAACGAGGGAGTTGAGAAGGAGCTGGAACAAGTCCGGAAGGGCTTGTGAAGGGATGAGAGCTCGTGTACACTAGAACCGTCAGCCGCTCCTCCTCTCTTCTGCTCCCTCCATCCCCTCTATCTCTCGTAGGATATAATCGAATACTTACAGTAAAATTGTCGGGACTCAAAACCCATCCAACTCGTCACTCCTCCCTCTTGTCCCCTGACGTGCTTCCCCAGCATCCTTGCCAAGCATGCCGAACCCTACTCCCCTCTTCCTGGTTGTGCTCGTCCCCCTCTGCGCTTGAGAACATCTCATTGAGCCTCTGTCGCGAGATCATGCTGTGCCCGTCATGCGTCGCTCTCGTCATCCGAGTAAGCAGCAAGAGCGCTGAGAGAGTTGTTCCCTTCATCTGCAGACGCATGAGGGGGTGAGGAGGATGAAACAGCTGCTGACCCTTCTTCTCCGCAGGCTTCTCGTCCTTCTTGTCCGTTGGCTTGTCAGTTGCTTCGATCTTGGGTTTCTTCGATGGGTTTTCTGCTTTTGATCCCTGTCGTCGCGTTGTGAGCAGGATGTGGAGGATTATGAAGCGAAGGAGGGGACGAGGAGTGGGGTCGGGTTACTAAGTGGCGCATACAAAGGAGAGGAAGAGTGAGAGGGCTCAGGGCTCAGAGACCAGACAACATTTCAGGACCAGAGCAGGATGGCGATCAGAGAGGTCAGGAGGGACGTACGTCGTCATCGTTGCTGGACTTCTTCTTTACGTTGACGAGGGACGTCAGAAGTTTCTTGCTCTTGTCCAGCTGCTGTCTTGCATTCTCAGCTTTCTTGGCGATCACGGATGGGAACAGCGACGAAGGCGCTTCTCCGACGCTCTCCTGCAGCAACACTTGAGCGCTGGTCACTGTGCTTGACAAGCCTGACTTGTTGCTTCTTGAAATTGTTGATCTGTTCCTGCTCTTCCATCTGCAGCGGAACCATCAACCATCGAGGAAACGAGGGGAGCGCCGATGGCTCGCCAGACCTTGCCGTACTTCTCAAGCATTCGCTTCGTCTGCATTTGCTGATGCTGTCATGAAGTCACCACACGGAACCAGCAGTAACGGTCTCATTTACCTGCCATAGGAGATCGCTAGGATCGGTCGCTCCACCTGGTTGGATGCAACCCATCAGTCTTGTACTTTACACATACTTTCACTGGCCAATCCTAGAAATTGTCTACCTGTCTTACGCTTCCTCTCCGCCCGTCGTCCATCCACCAACAACTACTCTAGTCGATGCCTCGTTCCCTCCTTCTTTTCTGCCCTGATCTTCTTGAAGAAACTTCCAGCTTCTCTTCTACTCCAATCCTCCTCTTGATCATCTTCCCTTGTGCCTCCTGCTAGTCCACTTACCCCTCTCCCCAAGTCGTCTCCCTCTACCCTTCCCCTCCCTCTCGTCCTTTCCCCCTCCTCTTCCTCTTCCCCGACCCCCTTCTCCTGGGTTTCCCTCTCTCCTTCCTACCTCCCACTCACTCTCTTCCTCTCCCTCTCTCCCCCACCTTCTCGCAGGAACTGTCCTCCTTCGCCATACTCGTCGTAGGACATGATGGTCGGTCACCCGGGTTGCGACTCGGGCCAACCCTCCCCACATCTGCCGACCAAAATCAGACTAGACCAACATGTCCTACGACGAGTATGGCGAAGCAGGACAGTTCCTGCGAGAAGGAGAGAGGGAGAGAGGGAGAGGAAGAAAGTGAGTGAGAGGTAGGAAGGAGAGAGGGAAACCCAGGAGAAGGGGGTCGGGGAAGAGGAAGACTGGCAGGAGGCACAAGGGAAGATGATCAAGAGGAGGATTGGAAAAGGAGAGAAGCTGGAAGTTTCTTCAAGAAGGTCAGGGCAGAAAAGAAGGAGGGAACGAGGCATCGACTAGAGTAGTTGTTGGTGGATGGACGACGGGAGGAGAGGAAGCGTGGAGGAGGTACAAACTTGATGTGATGATGGGAGAGGAAGGAAGTCAATTTCTAGGATTGGCAAGTGAAAGTATGTGTAAAGTACAAGACTGATGAGTCCCATCCGTGATCGCCAAGAAAGCTGAGAATGCAAGACAGCAGCTGGACAAGAGCAAGAAACTTCTGACGTCCCTCGTCAACGTAAAGAAGAAGTCCAGCAACGATGACGACGTACGTCCCTCCTGACCTCTCTGATCGCCATCCTGCTCTGGTCCTGAAATGTTGTCTGGTCTCTGAGCCCTGAGCCCTCTCACTCTTCCTCTCCTTTGTATGCGCCACTTAGTAACCCGACCCCACTCCTCGTCCCCTCCTTCGCTTCATAATCCTCCACATCCTGCTCACAACGCGACGACAGGGATCAAAAGCAGAAAACCCATCGAAGAAACCCAAGATCGAAGCAACTGACAAGCCAACGGACAAGAAGGACGAGAAGCCTGCGGAGAAGAAGGGTCAGCAGCTGTTTCATCCTCCTCTCCCCCTCATGTTGGTACGAACATCACTCTTGTGGTGACTCACGGCCCTCTTTGACTCTCCCAGTCTGAGTGATTTGTCGGCATGTATGAGTCATAGGCATAGTAAAAAGATGAGGCTAACTACGGTAAGATGAAGAGTCTAAAATCCATATCCGCATGATCATCGATGATGGCTGGCATAGTGACACGGACGCCGCGTATCATCCCACCCCTGGCGACCCGCTTCCCAGCGGCTGCCCAGGCAACTTGAACCCTGGGATCCTCGAGACAAAAAGAGCCGCCATGCTAATTGCCATAAAGCTCCAAAGACTCTTCTGAACCTGTGAGATGCTCGCCACTACCTGCGATCAGTTTGTCACGAATGAGCTAACACATTCATCGGTCTCAGTCAGTCGCCTCGGAAACACCCAGCGAGACTCTCAAGTACAGGATGCACCGCCGAATACCTTGTCGATACTCGCCTCAACCTGCGATCCTTTGTCACATGATCGTATCCGACAAACATCCCTCAGGCTACGCTGACACTGGTATACCTTGTCAAACCTGCTATTGTTGCTTTCCTGCACCTGCGATCGTTGTCACCGTTCAACCAGCGAGAAGGGAGCTTGAACACTGACGATCAGGTTCGAAAATACCTCGCAAAATCTGTCCTCTAGATGCACAAGACTCGTCTGAACCTGTGAGATGCTCGCCTCAACCTGCGATCCTTTGTCACATGATCGTATCCGACAAACATCCCTACTACGCTGACACTGGTATACCTTGTCAAACCTGCTATTGTTGCTTTCCTGCACCTGCGATCGTTGTCACCGTTCAACCAGCGAGAAGGGAGCTTGAACACTGACGATCAGGTTCGAAAATACCTCGCAAAATCTGTCCTCTAGATGCGCAAGACTCGTCTGAACCTGCAAGGCCGACACCCTTCGTCAACGTGTGTGATCAAACATTTTGGTTCACTGGCAGCACTCCGAGCGGCGCTCATCACCTGGTCCATCGAGCTGAAGAGATTTCTGCATGGGGTGTAGATGAGAAAGATTGGTACTCCTGATTTCCCGATGAGTATCGCTTCTTTGTGTTCTCTCCATCTGCTCAATTGCAATCACTTACTCAGTGGCCCCAGCATGTACTGAGCTTACCTTGCCAATATATTTACCGAGTTTCTCTTGAAGATTTCTTTGTTCCCGTTGACAAACACTCCCATTGCCTTGATCACGACGTTGGTCTTGTGAATCCGATTCCGAAGGGCATATGCTCGATCCAGCTGATACATCTTTTCAAGTATACAGCTCGGGCTTTCAGTTATCTCGAAGTGGAAACACTCCCCTCGCTCAAGACGTATGTCGCTGAGGCATTCGGCGGCGGATGTCGTAGCCTGACCATCTTCATTGCTGAGGCAGACGATGCTCTCACTGTCATTCAAGTCCACGACACGATTGAAGATGCTGTCCAGATGAACCGGCCCATCTCGTACTTTGACATACAGGTCTAATTCGAAGTAGTGGCCCTTGCTGTATTGCTTCTGCTTTTGATCGATACCACTGAGAGAATGGATCGAGAACCTCTTGCGCAGGTTTGTCCTGTACTCCGTGCTGTTCACATGTTGCAGGGCCGCTATGTCGTTGGAGTCTCTCAAGAAGAACCTCCTGCACATCATGGTCGCCGGGACATGAGCGAGTTGCGAGTAAAGCTGATTAGCGAAGTAGTCCCGCGCAGAGACGAGGTTGAGCTGAACCTCCTCCCAGTGCGGCAGCTCGTGAGGCTCCAAGTTGCTCATGCTGGGGGAGCTGGTGCCCGCCGGCGACTCCCCTGACCCCTCTGGCATTGCCACAAACTTTTTCCAAGGCGCGGGAAACTGAAGTAAATCCCACCCTACCCCTGCTGATCGTTCGGAATCCTACCAGAGGTGCTCTCTTGGAGGGGGTGGTGGTGGGAGGAGGAGGGACTCGGGAGAGCTATCAGAACATTCATAGAACAGGTTTTCGCTGCCTCGTCCCTCTGGCTGAGGCGGATTTGTTGGTACGAACATCACTCTTGTGGTGACTCACGGCCCTCTTTGACTCTCCCAGTCTGAGTGATTTGTCGGCATGTATGAGTCATAGGCATAGTAAAAAGATGAGGCTAACTACGGTAAGATGAAGAGTCTAAAATCCATATCCGCATGATCATCGATGATGGCTGGCATAGTGACACGGACGCCGCGTATCATCCCACCCCTGGCGACCCGCTTCCCAGCGGCTGCCCAGGCAACTTGAACCCTGGGATCCTCGAGACAAAAAGAGCCGCCATGCTAATTGCCATAAAGCTCCAAAGACTCTTCTGAACCTGTGAGATGCTCGCCACTACCTGCGATCAGTTTGTCACGAATGAGCTAACACATTCATCGGTCTCAGTCAGTCGCCTCGGAAACACCCAGCGAGACTCTCAAGTACAGGATGCACCGCCGAATACCTTGTCGATACTCGCCTCAACCTGCGATCCTTTGTCACATGATCGTATCCGACAAACATCCCTACTACGCTGACACTGGTATACCTTGTCAAACCTGCTATTGTTGCTTTCCTGCACCTGCGATCGTTGTCACCGTTCAACCAGCGAGAAGGGAGCTTGAACACTGACGATCAGGTTCGAAAATACCTCGCAAAATCTGTCCTCTAGATGCGCAAGACTCGTCTGAACCTGTGAGATGCTCGCCTCAACCTGCGATCCTTTGTCACATGATCGTATCCGACAAACATCCCTACTACGCTGACACTGGTATACCTTGTCAAACCTGCTATTGTTGCTTTCCTGCACCTGCGATCGTTGTCACCGTTCAACCAGCGAGAAGGGAGCTTGAACACTGACGATCAGGTTCGAAAATACCTCGCAAAATCTGTCCTCTAGATGCGCAAGACTCGTCTGAACCTGCAAGGCCGACACCCTTCGTCAACGTGTGTGATCAAACATTTTGGTTCACTGGCAGCACTCCGAGCGGCGCTCATCACCTGGTCCATCGAGCTGAAGAGATTTCTGCATGGGGTGTAGATGAGAAAGATTGGTACTCCTGATTTCCCGATGAGCATCGCTTCTTTGTGTTCTCTCCATCTGCTCAATTGCAATCACTTACTCAGTGGCCCCAGCATGTACTGAGCTTACCTTGCCAATATATTTACCGAGTTTCTCTTGAAGATTTCTTTGTTCCCGTTGACAAACACTCCCATTGCCTTGATCACGACGTTGGTCTTGTGAATCCGATTCCGAAGGGCATATGCTCGATCCAGCTGATACATCTTTTCAAGTATACAGCTCGGGCTTTCAGTTATCTCGAAGTGGAAACACTCCCCTCGCTCAAGACGTATGTCGCTGAGGCATTCGGCGGCGGATGTCGTAGCCTGACCATCTTCATTGCTGAGGCAGACGATGCTCTCACTGTCATTCAAGTCCACGACACGATTGAAGATGCTGTCCAGATGAACCGGCCCATCTCGTACTTTGACATACAGGTCTAATTCGAAGTAGTGGCCCTTGCTGTATTGCTTCTGCTTTTGATCGATACCACTGAGAGAATGGATCGAGAACCTCTTGCACAGGTTTGTCCTGTACTCCGTGCTGTTCACATGTTGCAGGGCCGCTATGTCGTTGGAGTCTCTCAAGAAGAACCTCCTGCACATCATGGTCGCCGGGACATGAGCGAGTTGCGAGTAAAGCTGATTAGCGAAGTAGTCCCGCGCAGAGACGAGGTTGAGCTGAACCTCCTCCCAGTGCGGCAGCTCGTGAGGCTCCAAGTTGCTCATGCTGGGGGAGCTGGTGCCCGCCGGCGACTCCCCTGACCCCATTGCCACAAACTTTTTCCGAGGCGCGGGAAACTGAAGTAAATCCCACCCTACCCCTGCTGATCGTTCGGAATCCTACCAGAGGTGCTCTCTTGGAGGGGGTGGTGGTGGGAGGAGAAAGGGACTCGGGAGAGCTACCAGAACATTCATAGAACAGGTTTTCGCTGCCTCCGAGGCTCGTCCGAGGCTCTTTGGCTGAGGCGGATTTGTTGGTACGAACATCACTCTTGTGGTGACTCACGGCCCTCTTTCAACGACTCTCCCAGTCTGAGTGATTTGTCGGCATGTATGAGTCATAGGCATAGTAGAAAGATGAGGCTAACTAGGCATGGACGCCGCGTATCATCCCACCCAGCGGCTGATCTCTTGGTCTTGGTGAGGATGCGGCTCGTCGTCCGATCATTGCGCACTGATGGCCCAGTGGCGTGCCGCATGGCGGGATAGCAGGGGGGGGGGACTCAGGGAAGAGGAGGAAGAGGAGGGATATTCGCGTGTACGGTATGCACCCCTTCCCGTCGCCGAATCTCCGGGGCCGAGGCTTCCTCTACCCTTCCCCTCCCTCTCGTCCTCCCTCCTCCTTCCCTCACTGTCTCCCTCTCACCTTCTCGCACTGCGGCAGGAGTAGGACATGTACGTCGGTCACCAGGGTTGCGACTCGGGCCAACCCTCCCCGGTCATACCCAGGCCTGCCCCAGGCCGCGCGGCCTCTTGTACGCATTGCTTCGATCAAAGATTCATTCCTGAATGCGCCAATGGCGCCAGGCAGACGAGCCGTCAGGATCCTCCTCCCCGTCTTGGGCCCTGCTGCATCTTCGCGGTCGTCTTACTGGCTCTGCAGCCAGTCAGGTGTTGTCATGGCACCAAGTTCTGAGACAGTCAGTCACCTGCACTCCGCCATGTTGTCCTTAAGAGCGTCAGAGTCAGGGATGAGACCTCCTAGAACGGGCTCAGAAGCATGGAGCCTGGACCAACAAGGAGGGGATGAAGCGGGAGCAGGGCAGGGAGGGAAAGCTTATAGAAGTCGGGAAGGAAGGGAAAGAGAGATGGTGGTCACCGCTAGCCAAGGAAGCTCTGAGGCTCATCAGGTTGGCTGTTTCGTCAGGACGGATCCCCTGCGACTGAACATTCGAGCTCGTATGTCAGTTCCTCCTGCTCCTGCTCCTGCTCCTGCTCCTGCTCCTGCTCCTGCTCCTAGGCTCCTCCTGCTCCTCCTCCTGCTGCTCCCGCTCCCGCTCCCGCTCCCGCTCCCGCTGCTGCTGCTGCTGCTGCTGCTGCTGCTGCTCCCCCTCCTCCTTCGCTCTTTCATTCCCCCTCTCGCTCGCTCGCTCGCTCGCTCTCTTCCCACCCCCGGGGGTCTCACTTGGATGTCATGGAAGTCAGGCGTGAAGTACTTGGCAATTGTCAGCATGAGGCCGGAGCCATCGGAAAGCGGAAAAGCTCCTTGGATAAGCCCTTTTCCGAAGCTCCTAGGGGATCACCATTACAACGAGCCATCCATCTCCTCGCCCGCTCCCTCGCTCCCTTCTTTCATCCTTGCGGTGTTAGACGGGGTCGAGGGAGCAGACTAACGAGGACGAAGAGAATCAAGAGGATGGGGAGGACGAGGATAAGGGTTCTTACATTGAGGACAAGGGAGGAAAGGAGGGGGGCAGCAGGAGGAGAAGACCTCTTGTTGCTTCCAATGACGTAAGCACGGCAGTAGTCTTGCAAGGAGCCGGTAAGGACCTGTCCGCCCCTCCCTTCAGCAGGAAGTCGGCTCCGGGACCACGAGCCAGACCTCACTCGCTGATGCCGTCCTGCGGTCGACGACGACGATCAAAGGCGTCTCTGCGTCAATCGTCTTGCCATTGGGAACGAGGATGGTTTCCAGGTCTCCTGCCCTGGTCTGCACCTGAAAGTGGTCGAGGTCAGGAGGAGGTCATGGGAGTGGAGAGCGAGCGGAGGAGGAAGGAGTGAAAGCGTGAAGAACGTAAGGAGGGAGGAAGTCAGGAAGGAGTGGAGGGTCTGCGCAGGGGGAAGGGGGAGGGGTCATTGTGCAGGGCTACCCAGGCCACTTTCTTGGATGGTTCTCCTTCCACGTTCTCAAGCAGGTAACCGGAGATCTCGATGGCCTCTTGAAGCAACCCGCCCTGAGGAAACATCAGCCAGCAACCATGGAGGGGGTTAGGAGGGAGATCACGGGGTTCCCTCTCAAGTCAAGGAGGAGGAGGTCACTCCTGCGGAGATGTCGTGTCACAGGAGCAGGGGAGACCAGGACTGCTCCAGCACTCACGATGAAAGATGCTTCAAAGCATCCGCCATGTCTCCTCCGCTCCTCCCGTCGAACTCTTTCAGACGGATGTAACCAACCTGCCCACTCAATCATTCTCTTGTTCCCGCCATCCCTTGCTCCGCCTCTCCCAAATCGCTCTACTTCTCTTGACCTTCTTCTCCTCCTCCTCCTCCTCCTCCTCCTCCTCCTCCTCCTCATCCTACCTACATACCTTTTTCTGATTGCTGGCTGCTATCAACTCATATGACAGAGAACTTTTCGAGCTTTTCTTCTTCCTCAACCGGAACGACTTGACCATCTCAGGGCCTGATCCTCACCTTGCCATCAGTGGAGGAAAATCCCCATCCTGCTCTCACCTTTCTCCTCCTTCTCGGAGACAACTAGCTCGACTTCCCGGTCCCCGGTGTCCTGCATCACCCGTGAGGATCCGGGGATCTCTCAGGATACATCTGCACACCTCGACGGCTCTCATCGCATCTGCTGAAGTCTTCCCCCTCATGTCAACATGGTTGATGAATAAAACCTGGTGGCGATTCGTCAATGATTCCGGGAAAAATCCTCTCCTCCTCGTTATTTTCCTCCCATCTCCTCCTCCAACTCTACCGCCTCCCTCCTCCCTCCCCGCCCCCCCCAAAAAATGATCATTGACAAAAACATACTCCGACTCGCCCGATGACCGAATATCCAGTCCCAAAATCTAAAATAAAAAGGAGCTAGCAGAAATTGCTCTTTTTCATTATGATGTACTGCCGTTAGAGGTGAGAGGGCGAATATATATGATCTTGTCTTGC